AAATTATCAAAATATATTACACAGAAGTCCTTTCCATAAAAACACATTTACTTCTGATGTACATCCGCATTCTCTGCGTGTCGTCTGCATCCCTCGATGTATGTGCCCCTGCACATTCTTAGCAGGGGCATGATGAGTCGTCTGTATCCCTCGATGTGCCCCCACCACGCAGAGTGCCCAAAAAAAATTCCCTAACATTTCGCTAGCTACTCGCTTTTCACGACCACTTATTTGGAGTTATCTGACGCAAACGTTTTTCCTGACTCTTCTACTGAACAGACGCTTTTTCCTAGTGATCCCTAACTATATAAATGGGGCACCCTGTCTTGGCGAGGCAGACTGGTAGTCTCGCAGCTCTTGCTTGTGATCGGCTGTGAACCCTACACCGATAAGAAAACCCTAAATGCACTTACATTTCAGCAAGCTGCTCTAGTCCCTGGAACAAGTAGAAATAGCATGAGTATACAAGTACTGCATTATAAAAACTATCACTCTCACATTTTGGACAGAGAAGGCGGATTGAACAATTGAACGGTACAGGGGAAAAATATTAATGTCACAAATTTGATGTTTTGTAGTTAGAACCGGCAACACGTATTCTTAACGCAGTACAATCCCATGAGGTATCGGAAACCCGTGAAAAACAATGACGCTCAATTGAAAACTTGCCGTGAAGGGAAAAAAAGATTAATGTAACAGCCGTTGTATGAAAACAAGGTGCACGTCCACTGGTCGTGACCGAAACTAGTAGAAGGGTTGATAACCCTATAGTTTTAATTGTAGATTTGTCCAAAAATCGCCCAAGTTTTCAGTTTGGGTCTTCAAAACTACAGTTTACAAATTACCGAAAAATTTCGCAAAAGTTTAACGAAAACAGATCGACTATACCTGGCAACACTGGCTTTATTGTAAGTAACATGAAAATGACAGAATTTAATTCAAATTTTGACATATTTATGTCACACAAGGTCGTTCAGAATCAGAACCGCTACGAAAAGAACTTGATTCAAGTTAAGTCAGAAGCGTGCTACTCGTATCAATGTCAAAAAAATGACAGCAGGGGGGCACCTTGGCGAATATTATTGACAAAAAAATGCACGCCACTACCTTTTTTATAACTTTAATATTTGTTGTTTTATTAGGCATCTAAATATACAACTTCTCACCCTCCTGTATTGTTTTTCGTATCTCACTTAGTTTTCGAGGGAAGAAATAAAAACCGTTTTATTGCATGTCACTGGACAAAATTGGTCTATTAACTTTTGCTAAAAAAATAACAAGTGCCTTGGAAAACAGAATATCATTTCTGCATGGAGGTTTGACATCGGCGCGTCACGTTATTTTCTTTGCAAAGTTTCTCTAAAAAGTTTTTGTTTCGCTTCTTATGATAGAAAATTACACTTTTGAGGAAATGGTAGACATGCGTGTAATGTATAAAAGTGCTTATAGTGACTGTTATGCAGCGAGGCGCCTGTATCCACAAGCGTTTCCACGTCGGCTTCTTTCATATGATATGTAAGAGTAAAAAAAAATGTTTTAAAATTTATCACCCTGTATCTTGAAAACTCTGCATTTCCAGACCCATGTTTATAGAAACTTTTTTTCGTACTTTCGTGCAAGCCCTTACAAACATACAACATGAATATAGTTCAATTAATCGCAAAACTTCCAAATTCACCCTCTTAAAAATGTATAAAAGCGCTTGTAGTAACTTGTATCCAGGGAGGCGCCTGAATGCAGAAGCGTTTCCTCATCGGCGACTGAAAAAATGGTTTAAAATTTATCACCCTTTATATTGAAAACTCTGCATTTCAGGACCCATGTTTATAGAATCCTTTTTTCATATTTTTTAACAAGGAATCACCCTCTAAAATATCTCCGTCTATATTTGGAACACCCTGTGTGAGCATCCTACAGTACTTCCAAATTCACACTCTTAAAAATGTATAAATGTGCTTATAGTAACTTTTATGCAGGGAGGCGTCTGTATACAGAAGCGTTTCCCCATCGGCTTCTTGCATATGATATGTAAGAGAAAAGAAAATGTTTTAAAATTTATCACCCTGTATATTGAAAACTCTGCATTTCAGGACCCATGTTTATAGAAACCTTTTTTCATATTCTTTAACAAGGAATCACCCTCTAAAATATCTCCGTCTATTTTTCGAACACCCTGTGTAGACATCCTACAGGACTTTGACAAAGAACTCCCTTTCTCTAGTTCGTACTTTTATGAAAGCCCTTATAAATATACAACATGAATATAGTTCAGTTAATATCAAAACTTCCAAATTCACCCTCTTAAAAATATATAAAAGTGCTTCTAGTGACAGTTATGCAGCGAGGCGCCTGTATGCAGAAGCGTTTCCCCATCGACGTCTTCCATATGATATGTAAGAGTAAAAAAAATGTTTTAAAATTTATCACCCTGTATATTGAAAAGTCTGCATATCCAGGCCCATGTTTAGACATTTTTTTCATATCTTTTAACAAGGAATCACCCTCTAAAATATCTCCGTCTATTTTTCGAACACCCGGTGTAGACATCCTACAGGACTTGGGCAAATAACTCCCTTTCTCTAGTTCGTACTTTTATGCAAACCCTTATAAACATACAATATGAATATAGTTCAATTAATCGCAAAACTTCCAAATTCACCCTCTTAAAAATGTATAAAAGTGCTTATAGTAACTTTTATACAGGGAGGCGCCTGTATGCAGAAGAAAATTGTTTTAAAACTTATCACCCTGTATCTTGAAAACTGCATTTCCGAACCCATGCTTATAGAAATTTTATGCTTATATCTTTTAACAAGGAATCACCCTCTAAAATATCTTTGTCTAATTTGCGTACACCCTGTGTAAGCATCCTACAGGACTTTGGCAAAGAACCCCCTTTCTCTAGTTCGTACTTTTATGCAAGCGCTTATAAACATACAACATGAATATAGTTCAATTAATCGCAAAAACTCCAAATTCACCCTCTTCAAAATGTATAAAAATGCTGATAGTAACTTTTATGAAGGGAGGCGGCTGTATGCAGAAGGGTTTCTCCATCGGCTTCTTTCATATATGTAAAAGTAAAAAAAAATGTTTTAAAATTTATCACCCTGTACATTAAAAACTGCATTTCAGGAACCATGTTTATAGAAACTTTTTTTCATATTTTTTAACAGGGAATGACCCTCTAAAATATCTCCGTATCTTTTTCGAACACCCTGTGTAGACATCCTACAGGACTTTGGCAAAGAACTCCCTTTCTCTAGTTCGTACTTTTATGCAAGCCCTTATAAACATACAACATGAATATAGTTCAATTAGCGGCGAATGTTCCAAATTCATCCTCTTAAAAATATCGATTGTATGGAGGTAAAAAACGTAAACAACTTTTTATACGAGACACAACATTTAAACACAACACAATCGGTATTTACGTGTACGAATCTCGCTTTCTTGTAAGTTTTTTTACATGATAGCGTGGGAGAAATTTTCCAACTCGATTTATGAATGAGCCGCGAGGGAACTCGCAAAGTCTGAACAAGTACAAACGACAAAAAAATGTTTTTTCCAACCCGGACACTTTTTCTTTAGGCTTTTTGGAATATTGCGAATAAAAATTTTGTCTACCTAAAAGTGTCGTTTTCGAGTGATAAGCGGCTAAATATCTGAAAAATCCAAAGCATGTTCTCTCAATACACATCAGCGCCTCGCGTTATTAACAATTAAGTAATGATACTTCAACTTGTACTAATCCTAAATTGCTCCTGGAGTCTTGAATGGTAAGGAGCGAATTTAACTTAGACACTTGGCAACCTCAAAGACGATACATTTAACTGCATTCTAAAGCATTGAAGATCGACATTCTTAAGGTTTCTCAGAACTTTAATCGCTTCTATCATGAAAAGGCTTAACCTTAGGGAAAAATTGCTAATGATACAAGGAGTCAAACTTGACATTATGAGCCCAAAGCTAGCACAGTTACCTACCTAGCTTGCCGTGAATACATTCACTTTCTCCAGAAAAATCGGGAAGAAGATATCCAACGTGAAGATGCACCACTCGCCTTTTATGAACAACCACAACACATTTTTACACACACTTGTCACAAAATCACTCAAACCACCACCGCGGCACTGCGGGTAATCGCCGACAAAGACTTCTCTGGACACCAGGATATGAACGCGAGTAACAGAAGCAGAGCGTTACCCGGAGGTCTCGGACGCAGCAGCCTCCAGTCACGCCAACCGACAACTAAAGTGCGCGCAAGTTCGCAGCGTACGGCGTTGGTACGGAAACGTACTGCTATCGTCGTCCTGCGTTGCCATTGGTTGGAATTTAGCAACCCCTCCATCCAGCTTCCAGTCTTTGTTTCGGGCAGGGATGCCAACCCTTCAGTTTTAACTGTAGATTGTTTTTAAAAAATCTTTTTAAGTTTTGTTTACTTAACCGAGTGCTGCTCGAGCAAGGTGCCTCCCTATTCAATTTTCAACCACCGGCAAGTTTGTGCAAAGTCAATGTCTACTTACTGATTATGCTTGCAAAAAGCACATTCTTTTAATATGGAAGAATTTGAGGGGAAATTCTATCACTTTTATGTCACTCAAGGGCAATCAAAACCGCAATCGCTCAAAAAGAATTTGCTTAAGCAATGCGATGCTGTCACTTTTTGAGCTTGGTCCGCGGTAGATGAAAAATATTGCAAATGGAACGCTGTAGATTTACAGTTTTTTAAAATAATATTATACAGTTATCTACAGTTTTTCTCTCGATGGAGTTGGCAATGATGTTTGAGGGTCAAGCGTCCGATTCCACTATTTTTTACATACTTTACGGGGGCTATAGGGAACAGAGGCGAAAGGGGGGACTCTAGCGAGGGAACACATTTGCACGCAAGATTATCTGTAACATCTCATTCAAATACAATTTCCATCATCACAGTTATATCTGAATATCCCAATGCTGCATAGGGTTGGGCATCTTCTCAATCAATAATATCAGGTATTAGCATTTTCTTGTTTTATTTCACAGATAGTAACTCACTAGTAAAGCTTTTAGAAACTTGATTACTTGTATTACAAATATATTCCGACAATTAACCAGAACTTTTAGCGACTTCATTACTATTACTAGTATTACAAATATATTCTATATAAACTATCAATCGCTTAGTAGTTCCATATCATCGCTAGTACTGTCATGGATACTATACTCAGCGAGCGTCGAATCACTGCTCGGAGTACTTTTCCTGGCAATGGCTAGTATTTTCTTTCTTGCAGCTTTCGGACTTGCACCCGCACCTGCAAAATGAATGAGTAACTGAACTTAAAATAAATGTAGGTTCAGATCATCGAATTTATTGAGGGAAATGAAATTTTAACCAAATTTCAAGCTGGATTCAGGAAGAAACACTCAACTGAAACGGCAATACGAATGGTTTTAGAGGACTGGAAGAAATGTATGGACAATAGGCAGCATACAGTAACACTGTTTTTGGGCTCCAAAAGGGCGTTTTTACAAAACTACTTAATTGTTAGAAGTCAGAAAGCCAAAATTACATTATCAAGCTCTAAAAATAGTTTTGTAGGTGTACCACAAGGTAGTAAAGTAGGTTCACTACAATTAATTTTATACATTAATGATATTTGTAATATTTTAGATTATTGTAAAATTCAGATATTTGCAGATGATACATCAATATACATATCAGATGAAAATATAGACACTGCTTTAAAAATGTTAAATTCTGACTTGGCAAAAATCATAAATTTGTTGAATGTAAATAAACTAAAATTGGGTGCTTCTAAAACAAAATATATGTCAATAGGGAAATACGTAAATGAAAATACTGCCACAGTTAGGATAAATGGTGAAACGATTGAAAATGTTGAATCAATTAAATATTTAGGTATACTTATACAGGGTGTCTGCGAAAGCCTGGGAAATCTCGAAACTGGAGATACTACAGACCAAAATATGTGAAATGACCTGAACATACCTCAATCCAAAAGTTGATAGTTTGAGAGATACAGGGTGTCAAAGTTAAAAAGTTAAAATTTTATTTTCTATTTTTCCTTATTGCTTCGAGAATTTCAGATTTTGGCTTAAAACTCGGTATAGGGAGGTTTTCTAGTATGAGAAACAAGAATCCGTTATTTTTTATGGCCAAACTTCCAGAGCGCGTCACTTATAGTCAACGCCAAACAAAGTGGCGTGCACGTCATCACGATAAAAATTCCCCGACCTAATGCCTAGGTTTCTATCACAAACAATTGCTCTATTGCAGTTTCATATTAATGTGATATATAAATTGTAAAATGGTCATTACTCTCTTACTATGGTTAATAGTCATATAAACATTGTTATTAAAATATCACATAAGTTGCTTTCTGATAAATTTAGACGCATTATGCGAAATAAAATGTTTTGCAAACGCTCCAATCACTTATCGACATGTAAACGCACTAAACCGATTTCGCAGCGTTGACACATTGTCACCTTGAAACTTATTTAAACTGGGAACTGACATTTGTATTAATTTTGACACTGAATCAATTTGTGGCATTTCAAATCTTTATAAATCCTTTGGCCCCGCATACTGTAAATCAACAACTGTTTGTTTCAAAACAAAATTATTCATTTTACGAGTAGATAAAGGCAATTTTGGTATATAAAGATGCCCAAACAGTTAAATAGTCGGTGTAAGGAACTCGTGGCCTCGTTAATGCACTACTTTGAGCAAGAAAGGGACAACAACGGGCCTTTGTTGCCTTTAAATGCTGTTCAAGAGGTAGGTTACTAATAATTATATGTAATGTATATTAATAATAGTGAAATTTTATTTCATTTTTTGTAGCGTGTTGCTGCTGCTTTAAAAATTAGTTTAAGGACAGTTAGTCGTATTTCCGAGGGTGTGAAAAGTGATGCAAATTTAGAATCGCCCAAGAAAAAGCGGAGTTATATTAAACGTGTAACCAACACAGCGACATTGGATACAAGTGCCATTCGAGAAGTGATCTATAATATGTATCACAAAAGTAAGATCTTATTATAATAACTTATCAGAAATTTGCATTAATTTGTTAACTAAATTATAATGTCATATTACACATGGTTTCAGAAGAACAAGTTACGATACAAACTTTATGGTCTCGATTAAGAGATAGGGCATTATTTGATGGTAGTGCCACGTCTTTAAGGCGGTTGCTTCGAGATCTTGGATTTAAGTGGCTTAAGGACAATCCGCGACGAGGGCTCATGGAACTACCAAGTATAGCTTTGAAAAGGGTGGAATTTCTAAGGCAATACAATCAAGCCAAGGTTGAGGCCTTATACCAGTTTGTCTTCCTCGATGAAACTTGGATATTTCAAAATGGGACCATAGGTCGCTCTTGGCAAAATGGAAACCAAAAAAGCGTGAAAGCTATTAAAACAGATGGTAAAAGGTATGTACTTTTACACAATTTGCACTATAAAATTTAAAACTAATATATTTTAGATACATTATATTACATGCTGGAAATGAAAATGGGTTTATTGAGGGTAGTGAAGCGATATTTTCTTCGAAAACAAAATTGAGCGATTACCATGGAGAGATGAACCAGGACAATTTTTTGAAATGGTTTCAACATCAGTTATTAGAAAAATTGGAGAGTCCATCTATGATTATACTGGATAACGCCCCTTATCACAGCATGATATTGAACAAAGTGCCCAACAATGCATTGTCAAAAAAAAATATCCAAGACTGGTTGACAAATCAAAACATACCATTTTTAAACACAATGTTTAAAACAGAGCTATTGAGTATTGTTGCTCGGTACATAATGCTTCTTAATTATATATATTTTGGTCGACAGTTTATATTTCTTTTGTTTATTCCTATTCTTAAAATAACTGCTTTTTTAGAAACAAACCACCTAAAATATACGTGACTGATGAATTGGCGGAACAACATGGGCACAAAGTTCTTCGTCTGCCTCCTTACCATTGTATATTTAACCCTATTGAGTTAATTTGGGGCATAGCAAAAGGTTACTATAACAGACATATTGGTAACAGTGAAAAAGACTGTTTGGATATGTGGAACGAGGCTCTACAAACGGTTACCCCAGACATGTGGAAAAATAGTGTTCGACATACTGAGCAAGAAATTTTTAAATGGTATGAAAGAGAACGAATTTTTGATCGACCAGACATCGAACCTTTAATAATCAACTTTGAGAGTGATGAAGATTCAGATTCAGACAGCGCTGAAGAAAGAAACTCCGACTAACTTTATTGTACAGAAAAAGCTTACACCAGTAGCTTACCTAATTTTAGAATGCATTTTTCTGTATGAATTCTGTAAAATAAATACCATGCATAAAATTTGGAGGACCCCATTTGGATTTTTATTCAGTACCTTTAAGCTATCAATTAAATATGGTAGTTTCATAGTGTCATCTGATCAATAATTGTCATACTTAATGATTATGCAAGTACAGATCTATAATTTTATTATACTATTATTTTTGTTCTCATTTGAGGTTAATATTGCTTATAAACCTAGATATGTAAATAATAAATTTTATTATTTTACAAAAAGTTTGGCAACAATGTAAATTTTTCAACACACCCACCTTGATGACGTGCACGCCACTTTGTTTGGCGTTGACTATACCCTCGTAGCTTTCTATTCACCATTTGAAATTTTGGTCTGATTTGTGAGTACCTTACAAAGGCCATAGGCGAAACTATACAGGGTCCAATAAGTACCACGACAAACTTAAGGACAAGGTGGGCTTTGGACTGACCTGTCACCGTTTTTGAGATATTGAATTTTTTCTTAAATTTAAAAAAAACGAACCTTTTCTCTGTGGCCTTTAGCTGCATGTACAAATAAGATTATACTTCACAAAATAGTCCTGGTCATGGTTCCTTAATATGTTTTAACTACATTGCATTTCTGTACCCCAGAGCCAGACTAGGTTAAGTCCAAAGAAGTAGTTTTGAGTTAATTGTATTTGAAATATTTTTCTTGCATTGTATTGAATACGACTTGATATGAGGTAAAAAGTCGTAACTTTCTTATTATGACAGATAGATAGATGCTGCATGTAGCAAATGAAAATTCACAATGTTATCATAAGCTTAACATATTAAACTCATTTTTGACAAAAATGGACTTAACCTAGTCTGACTCTCGGGTACAGATTTGTATATGATAAAGCAACTATCTCGAAGTATTTTATAGAAAAAATAAACAAAGTATAACCTTAATTGTACATGCAGCTAAAGACCATAGATGAAAGGTTAGTTTTTAAAATTTAAGAAAAAATGCAATATCCCGAAAACGGTGACACTTTTATATAGGTAAGTTTTTGTTATTTGGTTATCAAAATCTGGATCAATCCAAATTAAGATATTAGATCAATTCACCTTAGCCAAAGTTTCAGATCGATAGGTCGGCCCCTGAGGGCCCCTAATCTCAAAAAGGTGTTTTTCAAAAAATATTATTTTACGGGCGCAATTTTGCGAAAAAATAAAAAAAAAAGATTTTTGAAACTTATTGATTCGGAAAAAAAATTGAAATCATTTTTGAGATTTATGAGAATTTCGCTAACTTCAAAATGCCTTCTCAGATCCACTAACAAAATCATAAATTTTTGCCCGGAAAATCCTCAAAAATCTCCGCATTTTGAAAGAGTTTTAAAAACAACGTATTTATGCGTTTTTGACCGTTTCTTAGATTTCACAATCATAATTTTGATTCGATTAAGGAAAATTGCGAAAATAGGAAAAAACACATTTTCACTGATTTTCTTAAAAAGTTATTCGACAACGTTGTTATAATTTATGATCGCCCTTTGGAGCAACCATAATTAGAAATTATTTCAGAATGTAGAAATCCGAAACATTTAGCAATGTTCAATGTCTGACCAAATATTCAAAGTACATCAAAATAACAATAATTGTTTAGTCTGAATCTGTGGTTTCATTTGGCGGCCAGTGAAACACGAAGATTCAAGTTTACTTTTAGTATCTAATTTCCTAGCTGTTGTTTTACCCTCACTTGGAGTGTTCTTCCCTTTCGGTTTCGCCTTTTCCTCCGGCTTTGCCTTTTCTTTTGCTTTGACTTTTTCTTTCGGTTTTGTCTTTGCAGATGTTTTCGATCTCTCCTTCGATTTGGCCGTTTCTTTTCCCTGAATAGTCAGAGAATTCAAAAGAGTTGTGGTCTCGTTAACATTCTCTTGAACATTCAATGACTTTAAATAGTTCCAGAAATATATAGCCGCATCATTTTTTGCTGCTTCCTCAGTTTTTGACTCGTTGAAAAATTCTTGGCTGTAATAATAATATATTACATAACTACGTTAAAAATAGGTCTTATTGTAGTCATTGTTCAACGTCGTTCAATGATTGGTGTATTTGACGTTAAATAAATCTATAAAGTTCTTCATGGATGTCTAGCGCAATTAGAACTTGTTTAATTTTTACAAAGTTTGACGTCAAATTCCAGGATTCCAACCATGTCATCATTTCCATTATATTCAAAAACATTTCAATTCAAGCAGAGAACTTTGATAGAACTGCAGTATTTAACACTTTGACAGAATAGCTTTTGTTTATGAGATTCGCCTCAAAATCAAAAACACAAAAACTCAAAGTGTTTCTGGTAAGAATTTGCTACGTGGTTGGCAGCACTGCTTACTTACTGTCAAATGATCAATGAATTTATCCATTGTTGTGAATCTGAATAAATTAGTGAAGAAATTTGATGTAAAACGGACCCAAAGATGAAAACGAGAAAAACACCTACTTACACAGTTATTTTGCTTTCCTTATCATGCAACAAATCAATGAAATATCTTGCTATATACAAAAATTCCAAATGGCTAACATCTTGGAAAGCGTATCTTATAGAAATGAATGACATATTCACAAAATGTGGAGCTGGCTTACGGAAAAGCTTGTGACACAGGAGCCTTTTTGCTAGCATCTAAAAAGAATACGAAATCTGACGTTATTTCAGTGTGTAACTACTGTTGCAATCAACGCCGATGAACAAACATATTTTCATCGTCGTTGATTGCTTCTACGTTTTTGCGCGTGTAAGGGAAGTGGAAAAAATATCTAATTCTACATTTAGGCATAATCTTTGCAAAAAAATAATGACATCAAGTAGGTTGACTCTGCACTTCCCAAACAACGCTATAATCAGTTCATGAAACATTAGGTTAGGCACAATTTCACCCTACAGAAAAGTTTAATATGGAGATGTATAACAATGGAATTTAATAGAACAATTTAGTTCAATCAGCTCACACAATTTGTTCCTAGTTCCCACGCATTTGACAAGCAAGTCTTGAGAGGAAATGCATAGAAAAAATAGAATTACAGGGGTGTTTAGATTTGACTATCACGAAGTCGGTTGAATGAGTGCAAAGTTGCGCATTTAGGTAACTAAGAAAATGGCATTTAACAATTTTCTCAAAGTTGTTTTGTTTTTCCCTGACGTCAATTCAGATGGGATTTCAAAATAAAAAGTCATTCGAACTGTCAATTTCTCTCCTCTACAAAGAAGCATAATTAGAATTTCAATAGGACTAAAAATTAACTACATCTTGATAAAGAAAATTATTGCAACGTTTTTCTTATTTAGAATAATAATTTTATAAGTATCGAATTTTATTTTTAGTAATAAAACACTTCTCCTGGTCTGAAGATTTTGTGGTAGAAAATCGTACTCTACTCTCAATCTCGTTGGAGGTCATTTTTCATAATTTCTGTCGACAGTAAATACGAGAGCTGAAGGTGACTTGGTGCTATTTCCGGTGCTCTGGTGTAGGAATTCTACGGCCCACTACCGGATTTTGTGAAACAGTTTCACATGCAGGCTTGCGTTTGTTTATTAGAAATCGGCCCCTCTTGATGTTTTTTCGGGTGTAGTTATGTCCACGGCTAATCACCCAAGAGGGTGAGAAAAAGGCTCCGACAAAAAAAAAACGCCTAGTGGGGTCGATTTCTAATAAAAACCCCACCACCATATAATTCCGCAACTCTGCATGTGAAACTATTTCGCAAAATCGGGTATTGGGCCGCAGAATTCTTACACCGGGCATCGGCAATAGCACCAAGTCACCTTTATCCCTCGTATTTACGATCGACAGAAATTATAAAAAAATGACCTCCAACGAGATGGAGAGTACGATTTTCTACCACAAAATTATTAGACCAAGAGGAGTGCTTTATTCCTAAAAATAAAATTCGATGATATAAAATTATTATTTTAACTAAAAAAAACGTTGTAATAATTTACTTTATCGAGAGGTAGTTAATTTTTAGTCGACCATAAAAAGAAACTGTAACAAAATGCATTGCATTGCTTCAGCTCCTTAAACATCTTATTACTGAAGACTTACCCTTAGATCACGAAATTCATCTACATTAGTTGGTACGAGAGTAAATTTTTTCAAAATAGCCTCATACACATATATCATTGTGTAACAAATAATAAATAAAATATTAATTTTTGATGGAGATTGGGCGTTCATATCTATCGACTTGTCTATTATAGCTCCGAATTCCTCGTTGAACTGAAATGAAATATCCTGAAGAATAACAATCTGATAAGTCCATATAAAAATCATACATACCTTCAAATAGTACTTATAAGCAAATGCAAAATTATCTGCCGACATAACGCCCATCTTTCCCAAGTTTATATAGTCCACAAAATACTTTTGCTTATCTTCCACAGTAACTGAAAAAAAAACCGGCTGGTAGAATATTGCGGGTTGGGAATAATGAAATATCCACGGGAATACGTACACAGATGAACTTTTTCGTCATTAACAAAGCGTTGTCATCAATTCGTAAGGGATTATATTTGGTACAAGTTAGTCCCTATTAGAAAAACACTGGTTGCGAACACGTATAACAAAAGAATTAAATGGTAGACCATCCAGCAATATTCCAATCCAACACGTATGGTGACTTAGTCATGCCTAGTATTCCAAAGCAGAGGTGCGCGCTCGTTGAGTTGTCCAGTACCCGTACATCGAAGCTATATATTTACGATTCAACTTCTAAGGGCAAATGTATTCATGAAATATGTCTAATATGTGCGTAGAATTACCTAGGTTGGAAACGTCAGTAACAAAAATAAAATCGAACCAACAATAAACTTGGGCATTGTTTAAAATTTCAACTTGCCCTACCTGACCTTTGTTATATGGGCTCACAGGGCCAGAAAAATATAATCTCACCTTCTTTCTTATAAATAACGTATTTATCCAGAAAGTGTTGCAATACTTTGACGTGATCCGATTCCAAATCTATCTTCAAAATGTCTAATATCTTGGCAAATTTTCTAGCTTCTTTCAGTTCCATTTCATATTTTAGAAGAAATTCGCACAGCTGGCTGTAAACCTTGTAGAAAAAGAAAAACGGTCAGAAATCAGCAATGTATTTAGGGCGTATTTGTAGTTATTATTGTCGGTGACTTTAACAGGTATTTAGTGTTTTTTTATTATTTTTTTGTATGAAAGATTTGCAAACGTCTTATTTTTAGAAATTGCACTTTGAAAATTCAGAGATACATAATGATGATGCTGCATGATGTTCGTTACAATGGATCAGTTTGGCCCTTAATGAATACAATAGTGCCTTATATTAATGAATACCTTATAGTGTAAGTCGTTTCCATTCAATTTCTGGATTACGCTAAGTATTTCTCTCAGCAAACCATCCAGTCGCTTTTTATGGATATAGGTTAGCTGTTCAACATTATTCAACGGTACTTTGGTAATTTTTTTCAGATCCCACAGTAAATACCAGGTGCAGCACTGTACTAGATGTCCAGTTATCTGGAAATCGAAAAACGATATAATAAAATGAACTAAAAATTAAATAAAAATTCAATGACCTCCTTAATCTCCAAATTTAAAATAAACAAGCGTTGAAGGCTCTACGAAACCAAATTCAGATCTCCTGGGATACAATACACCAAGAAGACATCATTCACCTAATCCCATCAATGCCGCGACGACTTAACGAATGTGTAGTGAACAGAGGAGCTTCAAGACATTATTAATATTAAGGTGGGATATCTCACCTATTTTGCGAAATTTCGTGTTAAAATTTTAATCACTTTCTATTTATCAGTAGACCTAAAACTTATAAAAGGATGCTCAAAATTACAGCACTCCTAGTCGATGTTGCATTTTCTATGTCATTTAGTATATACCTAATGACATTATTTGCGTATTGAGTTTCCCTTATTAAGCCCTTTCGTTTGATACTCATATCATAGCGTTGGCCATGCAAAATGAATATCGCCGTTTTGCGACGGCCGCCATATTGTATTTAAAATGACGTCATTGTGCTTACTGTGTTCCTCTCGTCAAGCCCTTTCATTTGATACCCACATCATAGGAGTTACTATGGAAATGACGAATCGCCATTTTGTAGCAGCGACATATTGATTTCAAAATGGCGATGGTTAATCTATTTTGTATTGTCACACGAATCAAACGTGTGCACGAAATTTTAGGTCAATTGATTAAAGTAAACTGGTTGAAAATTCAGTTTGATACTAACAAACAGGTCAAGTTAATGCAGCACGTCCCTTTTTTCGCTTTCCAACTACCTGTTTGCAACCTGTTTTATCTGATTACTTCATGATGTGCATAGAGATGACTAGAAAATATCGTTTTTTATTTTGTTTTGTCATGAAATGCATTTTTTGTGCATTTAATTGTGGATCTTTTCTTCGATCGTAACTTGTTAACAAATATTAGTACAGCTCTGAAACTGTATGTGAATATTCCACTTTTATGGATGAATGAAACAAGTGATTTTATTCTTATCACTTTTTCTCTTCGAAAAATCTTTGCTTCTCTTATAAACTCAACCTGCTGCGAGACGAGGCTTGAAGAAAATCGAAGATTTTTCGAAAAGGAAAAGTGATAACAAAAGTAATCACTCGTTTCATTCTTCAATAAAAGAGGAATATTCACACGCAATTTCAGAGCTATACTTATATTTGTTAACAAGTTCCGAATGAAGAAAACATGCACAACAAAAAATGCATTTTTTGACAAAAAAAGTGAAAACATTGTTTTTTATTAGACATCTCTATACACACCATGAAATTGTCAGTTGAAAAGGCTTTAGAATACTGGTGCAAACAGATACTAGAAGAAAAATCCAAAAAGAGACGTGCCACCTTAAATGAGAGCTTGCAAAAATGACAGATATTGCAAGCTCACATAGAATTCTTATGTGGAAAATATTATGAAAACTATCAATTGAAACTCATGTTTTTGGAAGCATTTTCTATGATTTGCAAAACTTTCATGTGCTTATATCTGAAAATATATAGATTGAAAATATCAAGTTTGTCACCTTACAAAAATCTTCCTCTGTTATAATATACTGGAGTGTTTTACTCACCTCATCTGTACTGTTGGTTAACTGTACGAATAATTTTTGCCATTTTATTGTTTCGTTCAAATCAGTGCGTGGATACAAAACAGCGACTTTCAACGGAGCGTCGTTTAATCCTTCTTCGGTCTATATAAAAAAGAAAATTAAAAATACAATGCCAAAATACAAATAATAATAAATCAAAGCATTTATTGTCCAACAGTACAGATACTATTTAGAGAGCAATACATAGTACCTACACTGATTCAATTTACACAGTATGTGTGCCATAAAGTGAAAAAAAGAAAACGTATGGTGAAAGGGGTATAAAATCAAAGATGTAAGCACTTCTTAATACCTGAAATCCACAACAGAAGAATCATAAAAATTCGAATTATTGCACATAAAGTTTATTGGTGGCTTAGAAGATTTGCTTGTGTGTGATATTGGATTGCGTGAATTTAAATTTTCGATTTTTTTCAAAATATTTTCCAAATTCAAAATTGAAATTATTTTCCAAAGTACCCAATTTATTCCCAATGTTCAATCCAAATGTCTTTAAAATTGAGAATGTCCATTTTTTTTTCAAAATTTACAATTTTTAAATTTCGAAAATTCCTAAAATTTTTAAAAATATTATTTCAATAATTCGCGAATCTTCAATTCATTTTCTGAATTTTCCAAATTTTCAAATCAATTTTTTTTCAATTTAAAAATTAATTTTTTAGAAAATTACAAATTCGATTTTTTTATAAATTCCCCATTTCTCCCAATTTTTAAATCAAATTTCTTTCCAAATGTATAAATCTCCTAAATGACCTAAAAATTTTCAACATTTCCAAATATATCTTGAAATTTCTAAATCTTCAGATCATTTTCCGCATTTTCCAAATTTTTAGATCAATCTTTTTTCTCCAATTTCAAAACAAAAGTTTTTAAAAAAAATTTCAAATTCGAATTTTACCCAAGATTATTGTATCGCCATCGGTCCTTAACCCCTGAGTACATTTCAAAGTTAATAAGACTTCTTGAAATTGGTGAAAATTAGGTTGAAAGATTTCGTTACAAAAATACATACATACATACATACATACAGATCAAGCTATTATTATTACATTATTATATACAGTATTCTAAATCCTTTTCATCTGATTACTTCATGATGTGTATAGAGACGACTAAAAAATATCTTTTTTAATTTTGTTTTGTCATAAAATGCATTTTTTTGCGCAATTTATTGTGGATTTATTCTTCAATCGTAACTTGTTAAATATTAGTACAGCTCTGAAATTGTATGTGATTATTCCACTTTTATGGATGAATGAAACAAGTGATACTTTTATTCTTATCACTTTTTCTCTTAAAAAAATCTTTGCTTTTCTTGAAAACTCAACTTGCTGCGAGACGAAGCTTCAAGAAAATCAGAGATTTTTCGAAAAGGAATAGTGATAAGAACAAAAGTAATCACTTGTTTCATTCTTCCATAATAGATGAAATATTCACACACAATTTCAGAGCTGCACTTATATTTGTTAAGAAGTTCCAATTGAAGAAAAAATGCACAAAAAAATGCATTTTTTGATAAAAAAAATAGTCATCTCTATACACTCCATGAAATTATTACATGAATAGGATTTGGAATACTGCTGCAAACAGGTAGTTGGAAAAAAATCTAAAAAAGGTACGTGCCACCTCAAATAAGGAATTTCTACTTCAGATTGACACATCCACGCAGGGCTGATAAATAGCTGATAACAAGACCGCGTTATCCGATGGTTCAACCATTAATTAACGTGTTATTCAAGAAGACGTCCAGACATGTGCAGTATTTGGATATTCACATACAATTCCTATCGTCACGACCTTGTCAACCCGTCAACCGCCTCGTAAATATTCCTAAGATGTATACTCAATATTACTCAACCAAAGAAAAATTCTCATAACCTGCAGCAACAAGCGAGGAGGTGGCAACGTTGGCGTCTAAAGTCGCTGCTCACTACGTATGTCAGTTTTTGCGGCTTTAAACTGAATCGGGTCCATTTTAGTGGAATATGTTAATCAACAATCACACTTACCGGATTATCAAAATAACTGTCTAATCTATCAGTGAAGAGCTGATTGAAATCAGCTGTAAACCTTACAGCTCGAGCGCTGAAATTGACGGCGGTGTGGAAAAAGAAAAGTGCATCGATCAGCGCTTCTAGCAAGGCTTCGTCTGAATGGTACGTATACAGATCTTGGATGATATTCCACATTGTTATGCAATCCTAAAAACAAAATATTACATTGAATATTATTTAGGACTATTGCGCATAAGCACAGTCTCATCTTAAACTATGCACACCCTACACAACCAAAGATTTTAGAGTGCAGGAAGCTAAAGCCTTTTATTTCTACGATGGAATAATACTAATTTAAACAGGTTTTCAAAGTTCAACCCAACGAATTCAGACTAGGTAGAACAACGAATTTATACCAGGTAGAAGCAGCCAGTCAACCATTTGTTTGTCTTCTAATTCTCATAGTCTGTAGTATGGATCAAAGTGCACTTGACATAAGTCAATTTCTTAACCGTCATTAAATGCGTATTTTTAGTGCTATTTCTTAAAAGTGCGAGTGTTTTTTGATAATTATGGTGTTAGCTGCTTTCAAGACATGGTAATTCTTACATAAGTTGCAAAGTGCGGCACAAGCCTAATGAAGGTAGACGTTTCCACTGGTAAGTATTATTATTATTATGTTGATAAAACGCTGTCACTTTGGTAGGTATTTGAGAAGCACGAGAACCGCTCAATTTTTGCGACAAACAATGCAACGTTAACATATAGGCTTGTCTCCTAAAATTCGTTCGATTTCGTTGGTTGAAAGTGTTGTAATAAATTAATGCGGAAGTAATAAATAGTAAAAACGGTGGTATCGTTACAATACGTTGTTACAAAAAGTACAACAAAGAGTATTAGTTTTCTCGGTTAAATCTGACAATTACCTTAGCATAACTTGAAGACAGGAGGACAGGATTGAGTGCAGGAATAACTTTCAAAATATCTTTCAGAATCGCGGGATTCTGTTTGTACTTTAGCAGTATCTTGTTGAAGTGAGGAAGTAGTTCGCATATCCTGGCATGTTCAACAAATCCTACTTCGGCTGGTTCTGAAAATATTCTTCATTCATGAAGAGATACTACAAGAGTGACAGGGTAAAATGGGAAAATGAAGTGGAATGGATCCAATTTTCCATTTCTTCTTTGCAGGTTTCGTGAGGAATATAATACGGTTATTCAGCTTTGCTGAAATATTTTTTAGAAATCCCCAAAGCACGTTAAGGCCGCACGTCCATTTTTTCGCTTTTTTTCAACTACCTGTTTGCAACAAGTCCTTTTAATCTGATTAATTCATGATGTGTATAGAGATGACTAAAAACATCGTTTTTAATTTTGTTTTGTCATAAAATGCAATTTTGTGCATTTAATTGTGGAATTTTTCTTCGATCGTATCTTGTTAACAAATATTAGTACAGCTCTGAAATTGTATGTGAATATTCCACTTTTATGGATGAATCAAACAAGTTCTGACTTTTATTCTTATCACTTTTTCTCTTCGAAACATCTGTGCTTTTCCTGAAAACTCAACTTGCTGCGAGACGGAGCTTCAAGAAAATCAGAGATTTTTCGAAAAGCAATAGTGATAAGAATAAAAGTAATCACTTGTTTCATTCTTCCATAAAGGATGAAATATTCACACACAATTTCAGAGCTGCACTTATATTTGTTAACAAGTTCCGATTGAAGAAAAATGAATTTTTTCTTAAAAAGAAATGATAAATAACATTTTTTAGTCATATCTATACACACCATGTAATTATCAGATGAAAATGATTTAGAAATCGAGTGCAATCAGGTAGTTAAAAAAAATCTAAAAGGGGACGTGCCACCTTAAATCCGATAACCTTGGGAGCCTGATGACATTGCCTAACGGGGACATCAAAACATTCATCGTTTCTCTCTAAAGAGAAATACGTTGCTCCGCCCTGCTGGTACATTTTTTGCAAATTAAATTTCAGTAGATAAAAAGCTCGCCAGTAATAGTCAAGAATTGCCCGCAATGTCTCATCAGACCTTACGTTTACTTCGCACGCCATCGCGAAAAATTCCAAAAACGAGAATGTATGTTTTTGGGATGTTATGTATTTACTCATTTCCGTCGGTCTGTACGTCTGTCCGATAATATTTTGATGAAGTTTATAAGCAAGGTTACGACTATGCCAAGGGCAAAGATCTGTAGGTTTTGAAAATCGATCCATTGGCGGCGAAGCTAAAAGTAAAAATCGGCTAACATTTTTGTAGGGGTGAAAATTTGTGAGTTTTAGGGGGGGACGGGTTTTAGAGGGTATTTTTGGGCGTTGATATCTGTATACGCTTTCAGCCCCTATATATACATATGCACTCACTAGACAAATTTCAAGTCATAGGTTTCCCCGTACATTTGACATGACATGTTAATATCCTTGGACCCATTTCAAAAAAAAAATCGTATGAACGTATGCCCTAAATGTCTTAATCTTTGAGATACAGGGAGGTGAAGTTTTCAGAAGAGAGTCTGTATTTTATAATAGCTGTGATACTGTTGTAGATGTCTTTATGAAATTTCTATGCATCAAGATACATTTTTACAATTTTATTATTTCTACCAGTGGCGTCCATACGGGAGGAAAACATGGTACGCCACTCCTTGCTCTTCAAATAAAAACCATTTTTGAAATCTTCATTTATTTCTGAGCGAATTTGATCTATTGATTTTATTTCGTCTAACGCATGGGAAAAAGTCGTTTTACTTCAGGAACAAATCGCTAAAAGTCTGATGCAGAAATCGTTTGTGTATCAACTAAAAGAAAATTAAGAGATCAAATTTGTTCAAACGTGAATGAGAGCTCCCAAAAATATGTTTTCTTATCAGATGTACCTTTCTACATTAATTATAGAAAGTATATAAAATCAATCTTTGACTTCCCGCAAAACAATGCAGATGGAAATATACAAACCAGTTATCGATTTTACTCTCGGCATAGTTGGTTTTCCTGTAAGAATCTGACGTAAAACCTCAGAGAAAAGTGCCGCAATAGCATTCGTATCAATATCGGAGTGGTCATCCATCAGAAAATCAACGTACAGTTCCCAACTACGAAGTACTGAGCAATGAGGCAAAAATCCTTCAACGACGAGTTCTTTGGCGTATATCTGCGGCTGGTTAAGAAAAAAAAGAACACATTCAAAAATATCTTATGTAATATATCTTTCGTGGTGGATATTAAAATAATACCTCTCTGATTAATTTATTGACAAAGTTCTTATTGTTTGTTGTAGATTTATTTAGCATTAATGCTACAATATCAATGTTTCACAGTATATCACTTATAAGTTTACATGTTTTATACAGAATTTGAGACTATCGACAGGGATAAATTACTTATAAAATTGCATCACTATGGATTTAAAGAATCTGTATTCAAACTATTTAATTGACAGAAGTCAAGAAACCAAAATTGGATCTACATTATCAAGCCAAAAAAATATTTCTATTGGTATACCATATGGTAGTAAACTAGGTCCACTACTATTTATTCTATACATTAATGACATTTGTAATATTTTAGATTATTGTAAAATTCAGATATTTGCAGATGATACATAAACATACAAATCAGATGAAAATATAGTCACTGCTTCAAAAATGCTAAATTCTGACTTGGCAAAAATCATAAATTGGTTAAATGTAAATAAACTAAAATTGAATACTTCTAACACAAAATGTATGCTAATAGGGAAATACCTAAATGAAAATAGTATCACAGTCAGGATAAATGGTGAAATAATTGAAAATATTGAATCAATTAAATATTTAGGTATATTGATAGTAAACTAAAGTTTGATGATCACTATGAATACATTATTTCAAAAATTGCCAAAAATACAAATTGCTTTTATAGGGCTTCCGTAGTCTCGGTACATATTCCAAAAAAAAAATAGTTTAGAGTTCAATTTACTATATTGATCTGAACTATCTTGTTTACTGTCAATGAAGCTGTATTCTCAAAATACAGGTACGACAATAATATTGAACAAAAATGAGTACACCAAAATAAAATCCATCTTACAAGAATTGAAGTGGTTGAATATAAAAAATTTCATATCACAATGGGTTCTTATTTTTATATTTAAAATAAAAAATCATCTTCTGCCACAACATTTAAAACACTACATAGTATCGAATAATCATTACCACAATTATTATACAAGAGGAAATATAGATTTTCATTTACAAAATTGCAATAGTAATATAACTAGCAAATCAATATTTCAGAAAGGATTACTTGAACTTAATAAACGAAATGATATAAAGTCTACTTGTAATTTAAAGATGTTTAAAAGGAAATTAAAGGAATATTTAATGGACAGTGAATATTCTTAGAGATGCAAATTTTTCTAAATATCTGTATGTTATTTAATTGTTTAGTTTTTTAGAAGAACGTAATTGTAGCAAACATTCTAAATAAATCTTAAACAAACAAAACAAACACGTTCAGTGTGCCTATAGAAGGTATCGTAATTACTTTTCCGCATTAAAATGTGCATATATTTCATACCATCGTAGTAAGTTTGATTAGTTCCAACAATATCCGCTCCGGATCGTTGGAATCAATCTTGAAAAACGCCGACCAAAACTTGCATGCCGCACTCGCAGTCGGAAAATGTTTGTCGAAAACCAAACTTAGCATGTCACTCATCCAATCTTCTTTAGTCCCACTGAAATAATAATAAACTTATTATCTAAGTTTTATTGAATTATCATCGTGGCATCCGCTTTAAATGCCGAACAAAATTCCACATTTTCCCAAAATTTTCCAAAGTTCGTCTACTTGATTATTAGTATCAAACTTTTATTCTTCACTGGTATAGTAGACGACAACGCTTTTAGATTCGTTTACATTTTTTGCTGACAGTCACAAAACAGATTTTTCATAAAGTTTATTTTTTTTTTGCTGAAGCGCATAGTATACTTACCAGAGTGGATATTGTAATAGGGCAATAAACACGTCAACCGCCTTAACGGTAACTTTTATATCTACGTCATAAAATCTATCAGAGACAAATCTGAAAAAATCATCTTTGACCGGTTGAAGGTGCTTCCATATATGGGGAGTAGAGACGAAATATTCACATACCACCACTGCTTCATGTCTAACAGCTATCGACTAAAAAAAAATCCATTTTGAAAAATACATAATAAACATTCGATAACAGACAGTTTTCGATCGTCTACGAAAATGAGCGCTAAGCATACGAGGTGTGTAAATTAAGTGATGAGACTGGCAACGTAACGTTCGATCTGGCAACACGGGAGGCGGTGGGCTTGGAGCGTATATTCTAAAAAATTTTGTACAACACTATCATTCTTCCTCATTTGTTATATTGTTCGACTATTTTGTTCACTGCAAATGAAACTATAATTTCAAAATTACAAACACTACAAAATAAAGCTATGAGAATCATCTTAAATAAAAATAAATATACTAGAATAAATTTTATGCTGAGAGAACTACAATGGTTGAATTTCAAAAATTTCATAGCCTACTTGGTTTTCATTTTCATATTAAAGTTAAAAAATCACTTAAAAAATTTTATTGTATTGAACAATGAGTGCCACAATTATTCTACTAGAGGAAGTATAGACTTTCATTTACAAAACTGCAGTAGAAATATAACGAGCAAGTCAGTATTTCAAAGGGGATTGTACGAATTTAATAAATTAAGTAATGATATCAAGATGTGTGTCAGCTTGAAAATGTTCAAAGGGAAATTGAAAAAACATCTCATGGAAAACCAGAATTCATAGTAGTGAAATTTTGTATAAAAATATGTAGTCTTGAAGACATAATAATATGTGTAATATGTGTAATATGTAATATGGATATTGTGGACATTGTAGCATTAATGCTAAATAAATCTGAAACAAACAAATTAAACCAGTAATTGGTATATTTGTTGGTGGTGTATAAATAAATAACTTTGATACTTACAGGGTTAAGACTTAACGCTTTCAGGTGCTTCAAGATGTCGAAATCTGATATGAACCGCTTCGGGAAATAGTTGACCCAGATTTTAATTTCATGTACACACTCTATGGCTAGAACCATCAATTTGTTGTCCGATATACCACTGAAAAGATATTAAATAATTTTAATGCTGTTATCAAATTATTGCACAGTCATCGGTCCTTGATACGTGTGCGAAGTTTCAAATTAATCAAACTTCTGGAAATTTGTGAAAATTATGCTCAAAGATTACATACATACATACAAACCCATGCAGTGCTTTTCTTTAATGTCCCCCTCCCCTTTGATTTTTTGAACGGATCAATTCAAAAAATTAAAACTTAAGGTAATGAAATTGATTCTTTGCAAAGGTACACCCTTATAACTTAAAATCAAGCTTTCGAAGATCCATGTCTTCATCGTCTGGAGCTGGAAACAATTATTGACAATAGCAACAATTAATAATTAGGAGGAAAAATAGTTACTTAATAAGTCGGCAAGATTGTTGCTGAAATTGATTTTGAACAACAGTGAAGTGAACACATAGTCGACGAATAAAAAACTGTAGAATGTCGGCCGGCACGTGTTGGATAATGTGGAGGTTATCAGTGGGAAAAAAAAGATGAAATCTCGAAGGAATTTTCAATAGTTGATGGTTTTAAAATTTTCAAATTTCTTCCAAAATCAATCAACGTTTAAGTAAAAAAACCTTTTCAAAAATAAAAAAACATAGCTATGATTTGCCACTTAATAATAAAATAATTCCGTTCAAATCGAACCTCAACAGTCCAGTTTTTTATTCGTCGACTATATGTTCCCTTCACTGTTGTTTAAAAACAATTTCAGCAACAATCTCGCAGACTTAGTAAGTAACTAATTTTCCTCCTAATTGTTAATTGTGGCTATTGTCAATAATTGTTTCCAGCTCCAGACGATGAAGACATAGATCTTTCGAAAGCTTGAGTTTAAGTTATAAGAGTGTACTTTTGCAATACTTTGCCTTCTACCCAAAGAAATTCAAGGATACGATGTAGGATAAAAGATCATACGTACCATCTACGGATAAAAACTAGATACATAAAAGACACGAGGTCATCCACATTGCTTTGAGCTTGCATCAAATCATCAACCAAATCGTATTCGGAGTCTGTAACGCCATCAATTTCTTCGCAAACTCTCGCATATAACTTCACTCCAGCCGTAAGTACTTTCAGAGCTATAAACCACAATTATTGATAATATAGCTGCTAGGTGGTGACGGATTTGTAATGAAAAATTATACAAGAAATAATAATTTCCAGAAGACTTTTCCCAATATTCCTTGAATGGTCCAGGGATATGCAATTAACTTTACCTTTTTTCTCTCGAAAATTAAGCAAATTTACGAAAAGAACTCAAGAGACAAAACAGCTGTATTTCTATTTGCTTAGTCCGAACAACATAATCAGAATTGCACAAAAGTCAGTGGCGTAAATTTTTGTCACAAATATTCGTTCAGATCCCGCTCAAGACGCCACTGGACTTAATAACTTTAATCAAGTTAGCGCTAAATTAGCTCATAATGTTATAAGTACCTCTGCCAAATTACAACAAAATTAAGGACATTTGAGAAATTTACGAAGAACCATTTTTTTTTTAATTTTAACACCCTGTATCTTGAGAACGAAAAATTACTCAAAGAATCGTCTGTTAAATTCATTAAAAAGATGCGTTGAAGTTTAAAAATAAAAAAAAACATTTTTTTTTTAATAATTTAACAGGAAGGAACTAAAATTTGAAACAAATATCTCGAAAACTATTAGCCTTAGATACTTCTAACAAGTAAACCTTTTTTGTTGTGGAAATACGAGAAAATAAGATTTTTTGATCAGTTGTTGTATACAGGGTAGCACAAAAAAGTTATGATAACTTATTTACCGAAATAGTCTTGTAAGCTCTAGAAGTTTGGTCATAAAAAATATCGGATTCTTGTTTCTCATACTAGAAAACCTCCCTATACCGAGTTTTATGCCAAAATCTGATATACTTCTCAAGCAATAAGGAAAAATAGAAAATAAAATTGTAACTTTGACACCCTGTATTTCGCAAACTATCAACTGTTGGACTAAGGTATGTTAAGGTCAATTCACATATTTTGGTCAGTAGTATCTTTAGTTTCGAGATTTTCCAACCTTCCGAAGATATTGGAGCATTTTGAGTGTATACTTACTAAAAGCAGTTCCAGTATATTTGACAGGAGCTAAATTACTCTCCGCCATGTGCTTCACTAAGGTTAGAAATTTTTGAAACAGCACTTTATCGAACAAAACTCTGTTTTCGTATCCCATCATAACCAACGTGTCAATAAAATGGTAAATTCCCATTTGGAAGTGTTTAGCTAAAATGCCCCTTTCTTGTAATATGCACCTTCCAGTTTTCTGTGAACAGAATAATGAATGTACTTAATACTGAAATAGGGTGTTTACGACCCATGGCGTAAAATTTGGGTCAAATACGCGAAGCGATGCGGGACATAAACGCTTCTTATTACACCCTGATACTATAGCTAACAACCTTGCACTTGTAAGTATTTTGATGTCAATCGTTGACATCTCACCAAGCCTGAATGCTATTCAACTTCATCTGTGAATCCAAACAATCATGAATATCTCTTCTAGACGAATATATTTTTATGTCGTCGGAAAAACATGATTGCATACATTTCAAATTTTCACAGAGGTCATTAATAAACGATAGAATTAAAAGTGGTCCCAGGTTAGATCCCTGGGGAACACCGGATGGAGCAGAGTAAGCTTGAATCCATTGGATGCTACGATGCGCCCTGATAAATAGTATCTAGAGAATTTTATTATGTTGATACAAGGCGGTCACACTTCGGTAGGCATTGGTAGATGAATGAGTAAAAACTACACAATTTTGACGACAAACAATGAAATAAAAACATAATGTCTTGGCTCCATCTGATTTATACGAATTCGTTGATTCGACCATATTTGTACGATTGTGCTGTTTACCTTTAATGAGTCTTGTTCCCGCAAAACTTTGATGGCTTTCATCCGATCGGTTACATCTTTACCAAAATCTAAGCCCGCAATTTTGGATAAGTCAAATTTTTGGAAACCAGCAACGTCTACTGTAAATTGGGCCAGTCTTACAGTCGCCTTTTTTCTGTTCTGCTGGTACAGGCTGTACAGATTTTTGACATGTTCCTAAAACAGTTCTTAATGAGAAAGCTAACTAAAACTAAAAAAATTAAAACATGTATGGATCTTAAGTAAATATATTGTAGCATTTATACAAGGTACAGGGTTGAAATTCCTGAGGCTTCTGAAAAAGCTGCGTAGAAAAAATCGCGACTATGTAGAAAAATATATAATAAATTGATTTTTCAAATAAAAATTCGTTGCGCCTGGAAAAAATGTGGGAACCATATTATTGAAACCACCCTCGTACATACAAGAGCAAATCTTGCATCATTTGAGGAGCACGTAGTTTGTTCGGCACCACCTGTATTGACCTTTCCTACGTTAAATTTTTTATTATGAATAAAATAAATATCTACCTTTGCACCGGCGGGATTTGCTAGAACTTCCCCATACAAAGAACCTTCGACAAGTGGTTTGTGGAGGTTCCATATTTTTCCGGAATATTTGATCCGTCGCATATCTTGAAAATACGTTTCATAATCTTGTCTAGAAGCTAGAACATTAATAACGTGTACTTAAACTTTTCTGCCAATCAAAATTCCAGTAAAAATATATTCTTTCAAAACTGGTGAACAGTTGCTTTGCAACATAGAAAATTTTACCCAACTTCAAATCTCGATATTTTCGGAAAGAGATATCGAGTTGTGGTATTGGTTCTTGATCAACTCTTTGAGAACACGTACAGGGTTCGACCGGTATTTTTTTATTTGTCCACTTATACAGGGTGAGCAAAGGAAGTCATGTTTTTTAGCAAAGTTTGAGGCTATGTCAGATTCTCATTTTTTGATCTTCGCACTATCATAAAAAAGTGACATCTCAAATTTTTAGAAAGTTGGCTGTAATTTAAAATATCGAATTTTTAACGTCCTGCAATAAATGTCTTTCGGCTCGACCTTGCATTTTTTTCCCTCCATGCCATTAGGACGTTTTTCTCTGGTTTCATCCTAACTACCTACACCTCAGACATGCAATGGACAAGTTTACCATTTTTTTGTTATTAGCTCAAATGGAATTTTAAGAAAAATGAAACGAGATGGTGAAAAAACTATCAATTTATGTCTAAAAATAAAAAAATTACAGCCTATCAAAGTTGCGCCCCGCGAGACTATTTTTATTTTGTCTGAACACGACGCGTTGCGTCACACTTCACTATCCAGTTGGGACAGCAGCGGCCGACTCAATTTCCTAATCTTCGGTGAAGCACATATTTCAAGTTCGCGTTCGGATACCGCTTTGTATTTCGGGATATAAAAAATGTTCTGCAAAGCCTCGATTACGAGGGCGGTTCAATAAGTACCCGTGTTTCACGACAGAGGGCGTTCCTGAGGGAAGTTAATGTTACCATCGTGTGCTGCCATCTATCAAACGACGGCACAACAAATTTCAGTCTGATTGATAGGTTAGTTTGTATTTGGCAGCAATTCGAGTAACACACGTTTCGTGATTTTTCGCTAAGATGGACAAAGAGCAGTATCGTTCCGTATTCGCTTTTCGTTTTTGGACGGAAATAAATGCGGGGGATAAAAGCAAAGTTGGATGCTGTTTATGGGGGCATTTCGCCATCTACGGCCACAGTTAGATATTGGTTCAACGAATTTAAACGTGGGCGAACATCCATTTTTGATGAGGATCGACCAGGACGCCCGGCAGACGTGGTTACCGAGGAAATCATTCAAAAAGTCCACGACATGATTCTTGCTGATCGACGAACGAAAGTGCGCGAAGTAACGGAGGCCGTATGTGTGTCGACTGGAAGAAAGAAAATGGCAGGAACGTTGGGAAAAGTGTATCTTTCTAAAAGGGGATTATGTTGAAAAATAAAAAGAATTGTTTGGGAAAACATGGTGTCTTTATTTCTAACACGGGTACTTATTGAACCGCCCTCGTATAGTTTTAAAATGGACATAGGCGCGGACGAACAGGTCGCTGTTGCTGCAGCTTCCATAATTATGTGCTGTTCTCGGTTAAAAGAAAAGAGTTTAAACGTGGAAAAAGAAGATGGTGGATGCTATCTTTAAATAAAAGTCGTCAAAGGTAGCTTCTTAAAAATCAGATTGCTTTTAGTAACTATTTTCAAAGCCTACTTTTTAGTTTTACTTCCCGCGCCAATTAACGAGGAAGTATTGCAATCGCGAAACATTTCGAAATTAAGACATCATGTTTTTTGATGTTTCATGACACGTATATCACACATTTCCGGCGGTCCGTCTGTCTGTCCGGTAATCCTTGGCTCCATAATTCGGAAAATACTATTCGAAAGTCAATAAATTTTTTGCTGCAGTTTAGTATTATAGCAGGGATGCTTTGCGGTTTTATGGTTTTAGAAAAGCGGTGCAGTTGCGGCTGTTATCGTCAAAAAACGAAAAAGAAAAAATGAAAAGCGCTCAAACTCTGTTTTTGGATGTTTTTGGGGCTCCTGATCACTTTCCAACATTTTTTTGTAAGGGTAGTTAATCGAGGTGAGAGAAGATTGGGGAAAGGGGTATCTCTTATTTTTTGTCGGTGACACAGCTCATCAAAGCTCATCAATCTACTTGACGCCATTTTTTTAAAGTTGGTTTTACTTTCAATTTTTTAAGAAACGAAGAGCTGCGATGATAAACAGTGTATTAAAACATTTTCAAAGTATTTCCTCTTTTTGGTAGATGTCCAAAAATTCATTCTCCAGATCGTTGTTCCACTCCATTGCTACTCGCTCAAGCACAAATTGATACTGCACTGATCAGACAAAATATAAGAAAGGAGCAGCGAAGTTAGAGCGAAGCGTCCTGGAGCTGCCACCGAACGCAATTCGCCGATCATCGGATTATTTTACCGACAATTAGCGAAAAGAACTACGTACTACCACAAAGTGCGAAGCCACTCTCCCAGACGCTCCACGAAGTTAGGTGAATACGGAATGTTCGGCGAAGCGCGTAGTGTCTGGGACCGGCTTTATAGCTATAGGCACAAGGTATTGGTACACATACAGCGGGAACACGTGGTAGGCTAAACGTTTTCCGCGCCAATTTGTTTAATTAGTTGACTGTATATCCGATCGGTTATGAGCGAAATAACAAAAAAAAGGTTGTTATGAATACTGTATCGTTCCAAAATGTACAAGCACAACAATTGCAACCCTTAATAAACATTTTTTCTACGAACCCTCACATGAAAATATTGATTGTACCAAAAAGTACAACATATGTATGTGAAGACCACTTTAATGTGAATAATTTCGTTATTGGAATCTTTCGCTTTAGGCTCGTAAAGTCAGTCGTTCCTAAAATTGTAGGGCGCGTTTATGGCCTCCATGATTGTCATAGTTTTCTACTTCTCCGTGTCAGCGCTCTATTTTGAGGTTATGTCACAAACATCGTCTATCTTTGTCAGATACATGCAAATTAGCAATACGGTTTGCTTAGGCCCGTATCGTCAGTCGTCCCTACAATTGTAGGGCGCGTTTATGGCCTCCTTGATTGTCATACTGCTTTCTCTCCTTCAAAAATTTCTAGATTGCACGTGTCCCGTGTCAGCTTCAACGCTCTCCTATTGTGAAGATATGTTTTCTTTTTAAATTGTAGGAAATTTCAGGCTGATAAAACATGATATAACTCAAAAGCAAGCACAATTTGATGCTAATAGATATTTGTGACATAACCTCAAAATAGAGCGCTGACACGGAAAAGTAGAAAACTATGACAATCAAGGAGGCCATAAAGGCGCCCTACAATTTGTAGGGACGACTGACGATACGGGCCTAAGTAACAATAATATTGGCTGTAGACTTGAAAGTATAATTTTACTTTCTCAAAACTCTTGACGGCATGCCCGAACTCCGCTTCGCGTCTTTCGTGCAACTGCCGTTGCGTGCGGAAAAGTATCACTTTCCGCACTTGTTAGGTAAATAACTACTTTCCACCAGCGTGAGGAAAGTACTCACTTTCAAAAAAGGAACCGGGTGAAGAAAGTAGCTCTTTTCCGCACGCGTAACAGCGCTACTTCGCGTATCACTGTCTGTGCTTGCCAGGTAACTAACTATTTTACAAATTTTCCCCCGCCATTGTTCATATTTTTTGTCTCAAGCCAAAATGCGTGTTTTCTGTATTCGTATAAAATATATCTCATTTGCCAATTAATAGAGAAAAATATAAAATACATATATAATAAATTACCCTTAGAGTCAATGACGCTATCGGACTCTGATTCATCTCTAAAGAGGGCATTAGATGAGTTGGAGGACCTCAAGGAAAGTGATCTTGAAGACACAGATTCTCCAGAAGAGCTCGCTTGAATACAAGAAATCTGTAGCGAAGTAATCATGGACCGTCTTTCTCCACTTTGAGGAGTTGATGATTCAAGAGTTGCCGGAAAAGACGGTCGGAGTGGAGATTTCCTCAATCTCTTCGAGGGGGAAGCCATTTTGCGTTTAGCTCTGTAAAGATTTAAAACATAACTTCTTTATATACAATTTGTCCCAAGGAAATTGACTCTCAAAGGTACTTACCAACGTCTTCTATATCTCAGGCTATTCAATACACACCTTATTAAGTTGTTTGAGAAGTTTAAAAAAGATTTCTCACCAAAATCACTTTTTAAAACGGTTTCTCGATTGCTCGATTGGAATTTGAAACAAGTGAAGTTACCATTTGCTAAACTGTGCTAGAATGCACAGGTCTGCCAACCTAAATAAATTTGGTGAACATAATTTCAAACAGGAAGTATGATTTTTCCTTTTAGAATCCCAGTTTCAAAAACGTGTATCCAAGACTAGGCTCGTACCTGATGTTGTTTGCTTGTGTATTGTTTTTGAAAAACAAGCAATGAACAGATAAAACAATATTTTATTCATTACCCTTGTAGTCATGGATTGGTATCACTGGCCTGTGTTTCAGCACTTGACGGCGCGGCATTTAAAATCATCATGATATCACTATGAAACGCTGCTAAGATATTTTGCATTTTTGCGAGATTTTTTTGCAGGTAATGTACTTTCTTTGGATAAAAAAAATAAAATTATGTTTTGTGAATAGTGTATAAATACTAAATATATTCTCATCGCATAATACAGTGACCTGTTCTAAGGAATTTTATTTTAGAATTGACGGTGAAGATGGCGCCACTGTATCATTTGAATCCGAATGTCGCGTCGCCATAGGCGTTACATGGGGTAATTTCCGAAGGCAGTCAGATAGTCATGCCCAGTGGCGGCGAGGTTTTCGAAGCGACAGTATTTTTCGGGCGTTCTTTCTCGCATACAGGCGACAATCACAAGGATGGAGTCCCGCATCAGTGAAAAATTATGGAGAATGATGCGTAAGTAACATAGATGGATCATTAGATTATTATAATGATAATAGTACTAGGTTTGAAAGGCCACTAAGCACGTCTTTTTTTAATTGGAGTAAGCATGGTTATAACATTGAGGAGGAGAGTGTCGTCATATTCCGCTATTGCTGATACCTCCCAGATGCACCACTATCACAGCGTGGTGTGGCTCGGGTGCAATAAAAGCTGCTAAAACAGATGCTGGATCATGCTATTACCACAGATTATGGGTGAGACTCGCATAAGGCCAAGGCTCCATGCAAAAACTGTGCAAAGAGCCAAGACAACTACAATAATCAAGACCGTTTCAAGCCAAGTTTCCCTGGGCACATAACAGCTTGGGAGCAAAAAACTGAGAAGCAGATTCATCATCTATGGTCGATGCGTCTAATTTACGGAAGAAACGAGTTTTCGTCTAGATTTCTGGTACACGTCATTTTTTTATTATTTTCGCCTAGAAATTTTAAAAATACATTACGCAGTCTTTATTTCCGGTCTGACTGCCTACAAGAGAATGAAACTCGGTTCGCTGGCGTAATTTGGTACACAGACTTGGAATACTTTATTTTGACAGAAAACTTGGGACTTCCATCGAACTCGGCGACCAACTGACGTTAGATTCATAATATATAATACGCGTCTAGCTTATTCGACAATAACGGTCTCGTTATAATACTTCAGACACACTTGAGATAGATTATATTCAATCTAAATTCTCATTCGAAATGTTACATTGTATTCGAATTTGAACTAGCGATAAGTCCAGTTAATGCCATTGACAACTTTTTACGATTTCACTCAAATCGCCGCTGACATAGCTGCCTTTTCCTGTGTACCACATTAACAATGTGCATAAGCGATCAAAATGGTGAACCTGAATTACGTTTCCAGCAGTCGAAGCAAAACACGGAACTTCGTCTCTTTTGTAGTGTGAATCTGCGATTGTGTGTGACATCTGTCATTTGTAAAATATAAATGTCATTCGCCGTTTCCCGCGCTAAATCTTTACTTGTGGCGTATGTAGAAGCAGCTGAGATTGATTTTTGATTTATAATTCCTTTTGCAAAAAAGTAATATGTCTGGACGCGGCAAAGGAGGTAAAGGAAAGGCGAAGGCAAAGTCCCGTTCCAATAGGGCGGGACTGCAATTCCCGGTAGGCAGAATCCATCGCTTGCTGAGGAAAGGAAATTATGCTGAACGCGTGGGTGCTGGGGCCCCAGTCTATCTAGCAGCCGTTATGGAGTATCTCGCCGCAGAAGTGCTCGAGTTGGCTGGAAATGCAGCCAGGGACAACAAAAAGACCAGGATTATTCCCAGGCATTTACAACTCGCTATCAGGTAGAGCCCAAGTTTGATTTTTTTTGCTATAAGCTCTTCCATTACTGGGCACAATCTGATCAAAATTTCTGAGTTTGTAGCAAAGCGGTTATTACTTATTAATATTGTATAATTGTATATTATAGGTTAGATGGGAGTATCACAAGCCATTGTTTGAGATGTCTATATCACATTTGATCATTTTCCTGACTTTACAAGCATTTAAGTTCAGAATTACCTAATATGTGGCCCAAGAAACTATAGGTAGACTCAACCCCTTTTTTTCATTTTCTAGGAATGATGAAGAGCTAAACAAACTTCTCTCAGGAGTGACAATTGCCCAAGGTGGTGTATTGCCTAACATTCAGGCTGTGTTGCTACCGAAGAAGACTGGAACCTCTGCTGCTCGGGACAAAACAGGAAAATCACAGTCCCAAGATTATTAAACATTACTGGAGCAGTCTTTAGCCTATCTCAATAGTTTTTGATAAGTTTTTTAATATCAGTTATGAGTAGTCCTAAGGAACTTCTGTCTAAAAAGATGATCACAGCATTATTTGTTGAGTGTAGTCTTGTTTTGTCACTGTCCTGTATGAGTAAGATTATCTGTATTACTTTGAATAAATTGTTTGGTTGTACAAAAAGGTTTTATTTCTTTCTTAATCACATTGATTTTCAATGTTTGCAGAAATAATACTAACAGTATAATATATTGCTTTCTTTTCATAATTTTCTGGTCAATTCTATATTTGGTAGCTATTTACCTAAACTAAATCCAAATTCAAGATGGGATGTAAATAATAACAGTTAACCTGTGATCTCTCGGTAACAGGTGGGGACAACGCGTCTTATTGGTCAATTCGCCATTAAATTTCAAGCCCTCACCTGGCGGAATAATGCGCGGGGCAGGGGCAGGCAGAGTTGCATTCAGGTCACCGACCATCGCGTGTATCACTGCGTGCTCGTGTTTTCGTATTCACCTTGCTTGGTTGTTGCTGTTGTTAAGTTTATTTGAGTAATTTGTTAAGTTTCTGTTTGTTATTGTTATTCCTCGCTGTAATTTGTTTTGAACATGTCCAGTACAGATACTGCTGGCGAGGCTGTAGGCTACTCCCTTAGCCCTCCTAGAAAGCGATCAAAAAAAGACATCTTAGCGTAGACATGAAAGACGTCATATTGAATACATTCAAGATAGAGCGGAAGGAAGACGAAACATCAACTAACCCGAAAATAGCTCTGAAAGTGGCAGATAAAAATGGAGTATGCCAAGCGACAGTGTACAAAGTTTTGAACGAACATAAGAAAAAGCATGCCTTTTCCAAGCCAATGACGGGTAAAAATCGCAAAAGTATCATAAAATCGTTGGATGACGCTGACAAGCATGCGATTCGGAGGAAAGTGCAAGAGTTCTTCACAGAAACGAAATACCGACAGTTGATAAAGTATTACGTGAGGTTAACGAAGATGCTATGTTACAAAATGTCAAACATTAGACTATTCATAAACTTTTGAAGCATCTTAATTTCGAATGAAAGAAACAAGGTCGTAACAGCTTACTTATGGATAGAGAAGAAATTCTGTGGAGGAGAGAGTATCTGACCAAAATTAAATCATTCAGGGATCAGCACAGGAAGATCTATTACCTGGACGAAACCTGGATTAACGCTGGGCACACTACTCCGAAGGTATGGGTTGACAAAACTGTGACTTCATCCAGAAGGGCATTTCTAAATGGACTGTTGACCGGATTGAAAAATCCAGCAGGTAAATAGGTCCAAGTAGTTCACGGTATCAATTTTTGCGCACAATATCTCTCTATCTTCGTACCTACAAGACGTGCATGTGTACTTAGCGGATTTTATCTTTCTAGGCAAAGGAAAAAGGCTCATTATTTGCCACATTGGGGGTGTAGATGGCTTCGTGGATGACGGCTTATGGTCTTTTGAGTCAAAAAAAACCACTGACTACCATGAAGAGATGAATGGGGAAGCATTCGAGAAGTGGTTTTCAGGCATTTTACCACGTCTCGAAGACAATTCTGTGGTTGTTTTGGATAATGCTCCCTATCATTCTCGCAAAATAGAAAAAATCCCAACTTCAGCTTCTAGGAAATCAGACATTCAGAGCTGGCTCCGTTCCAAAAATATAACTTTCGACCCTCCCTTACTGAAATTACTACTTTTAGATATTGTGAAACAACACAGACCAAGACATGATAAATATGTCATAGATGAAATGGCCAAAGCACACCACAAAACAGTACTCTGTTTGCCGCCTTACCACTGTGAGCTCAACCCCACTGAGCTCATATGGGCAGATGTTAAGAATTTTGTTGCTGCACACAATACAACATTTAACTTTTCTGACATGCAAGAGCTGTTCAGAATTGCTATACAGAGGATCACACCAGAAAGAAGGCAAAAATGTGTGCAGCATGTTCAGGAGAAAGTGGAGGTAGCAATGTGGGAGCTGGACAACATAATTGAGAGAGATTTTGAATCCATCATCATAAACATTAATGACGATAGCTCTTCAAGTGAGTCTGTGTAAGTTTCACGTTTTTGTTTTGTCACAGAATACATATTATGGGAATCCTAGTTATAGTGAAATATTAACTTACAGATAAACTACATTACAATGCAAGTACGAAGTGCACCTTCAAAATCTATTTTCAATTGATTGAACATCCTTATATTTATTCCATGTACAAAAGCGTCATCTCTACCGCTCGTTGACTACGGATTCATTGTGCATAGTGAGTAGCTGGTTACCTCTGGTATGTATTTCTCCATGTTGTCTAGTTTGAAAAATCTGTAGAAAAACTTAGCACCCCTTCAAGAATAAAAATTTGATTTTGCGACACCCTTAACTATAACTACTTCACTATATTAGATAATTTCGTTAAATACTGTCATCTTTGTTTTACAACACGTTGGTGGTAGTCCATCATTCGGAGGTAGCCCTGAATGCGGCCCTGTACGCCGTCCTTGCTTTTGGCAATCACGCATCAATTCTATCTTGGGTGTAAATACACTATAGTTTCATAATCAACAACTTTTAGCTACTAGAAAATTAGTGTCATAATTTACCAGAATAAACTGTTTATCATTGTCATACCAAGGAAAGCTATATTACTAATAATGAAAGAGGTTGAATAAAATGTAATGGTTATCAAAATATGTATTTCTTCTTTGTAACTTGTCATACAAAATAAACATTAAAACTAAGTAGTATAACTCAAAAACACAAAGTCTAAGTAAGTCATTTTCTGTGAAGCAATTTAGACTTTCATGATTTTATAAAAGAGCAAATTGATAATTTTATACAGCTATATGAAAGAAATAGTTAAATTTAGGCTCTGGTCATTTATTAAGTGAGCATTATACGACCATGATAAATTTAAAATACTAAACTTATGAGTAAATACCTATATAGAACTACATATACTGTTTATAAAAAATAATGGATTTGCAATCCATAACAATTTTAATTTGTAATAAGTTTAAAAAAAGGTCTAGAAATGAGAAGCAATTTTTTCAAAGTTCTATACATCTCAATTTTTTTTTCACAGAAATAACTATTTTTATGGTGGCAAGCACCAAACGAAAAAATTCAAAACTCACCTAATTTGTTGCTGGAAATATATGAAATTCGTCGTGAAATTGGTTCTGCATATGAATGTAATGGATCTGCGTAGCTTCAGCATTAAGAATATTATCTCATGATTTGAACACCTGAAGTCGCCAATTTCACATACTTTCAGCAACATAGATATTCTCTTGGTTAATGCTTGCCACCCTTAACTTAAAAAAGTATAAACTGAGATAATGGCCTTTTGACTTTTATTGGTCTTATGATTAACGTATTCTGATTTGCCAAAAGTATGAATGAAAATCTTCACTACATCCATATAATGGAACAACATTTTGCTTAAACTCATTTTATCGGACCTCCATTGTCTGTATTTTCCATTTCGATTGGTAAGTATCTCTAATTGTTATCAAGTGTGAAATGAGAACTTGTACTAAAAGCCCTATTTATATACAATTGTGTGTGACCAAGCGTGAAGCTCAGCCTCTTAATTCTATGAACCGTGAAGTTCTGCTTTAAGTAGGGATTTCCACGCTGGCAATACTAAAAACTCCGGTGTTATTCCCAATAAATGCTGTTTCGACAAATTTTCATTTTCGCCAGTGCTGTTCCCTGTACAGAATCTTGGCTTCTGATCACTTCATTTGGTGTTAATTGGTCCATACATGTTCAGCGATACCCAAACTGGTTGTTTCACTCAGTCGTGAGTGCTTTTGATGTTCTTTAACCCTAACAGATAGTGGTATTTTGGTTTCTCCTATATACGAGTTGCCACACTCACACGGGACTTGATATACGTATCCCTTTTTCAGGTCAGATCCTTCCTGTTTCGTCTTCGTGAGGTAGCTCCTCAAGGTTCTGTTCAGGGAACAGCTCTGGCGAAAACGAAAATTTGTCGGAACAGCATTTATTGAGAATAACACCCGAATTTTTAGTAATGGCAGCGTGGAAATCCCTACTTAAACAGAATCTCTTCACGCTTGGTCGCACACAACTGTATACAAATAGGCAGCCTTTATAGGCTAAGTTCTCATTTCACACTTGATAACGATTAGAGATACTTACTAATCGAAACTTTGTGTACTTAGTTAAAAATACAGACAATGGAAGTCCGAAATAAATTAGTTTACCTCTACGTTGTCCCTTACCTTCAAACAAACATTTAGCTTAGAATTGACATATATTTATATCCCATCTAGGTAGTTGTGTGAAATACTTGAGTTTATGACCACTTTTGTGTAAACAAATGTATGAAGATTTTGTAAAGTGAAATTGCTCAAGATGGATAAATATTGTGGACTAGCTCGTGCATCAGGTACTATTAGAGACTTCAATTGCCATTTCAATGTATTCACATGCCATATCGACCCCTGCAACGAAGACTATAGTAACTCAAAAATCCTTACTTTTGACTTACTATAAGGTATCGATAGATATATTATGCTTCTCGTTCGAGGAAGAATATAGTATCTCAATTATGAAACCATAGGCAACCAGTATAACTTTCGTGAATTATAGTAAGTATAATCACTCACATTGCTGTCAGCGAAAAGTACATCAAGTTGAGTTACTATAGTTTTCGATGCAAAAAATCGCGCTAGGCATTCTATGTTTGGACATACTATAATCTTCGCGGTATAATTCGAGGTTATGATTATTTAAACCCAAAACGTTTTAAGTAGTAGCTGTCTGAAAATAGATAAATATAGAGAACTAGAATGAATTCTAGGACCAAAGTCATTTTGGAAAATGCAAAGAAGCTAAATGATGCATCAGGTTCAGGTAAGTTTGTCTTGTAATTATTTTATTATTTTCTAACATGGGTAATTAATTCTTTCTTTCTGGTTCATGCTTAGTATCCACATTTGCCTGTTATGCATTGGAATCATGTTATACCTACATTGATTTTTCTCTCCTACTTATAGATTCTTACAGGTATTTATTTTTGTAGGTGCAGATAACTGTCTTATTACGGAATCTGCGTATGCTGGTGCAGTAGTCAATGTACAGGATGTGCGAGCCCCTTTGCCTGATACAGCTGTTGCTTCCAGCAACCACCCTGCAGAGGACCCTATAGAAGTTGGATTTAATTTTGTACAAACAGATCCATCAGTAGTACTTCTTGATACACCTCATGACATTACGAATACGGAAGGAAATTTCTCAGACGACTCGGATATTGATCCTATTTATGTACCCGAAGAAACAACAGATTCTGATTCATCTATTGTGCCATTTATACCTCATGAAACCAAAAACCGAATTCAGGTGCCTAAAAAGCGTAAGATAACGCCCAAAGAAAGGAAAGGCAGAAAACGTGTAAAAAATACAAATGAGTGGATTGATGTTCGAGCTAAGAAGGAATTAAACTTGGGCATCGAACATAAAAACCGGAAAGGTACAATTATTCCCGCCAAACAGATAAAGAATCCATGTAAAGAAAACTGCAGAAATAAATGTCGTCAAAAAATAAGTGAGGAAGAGAGAAAAGCATTGTTCGAGGAGTTTTGGAAAATAGGTGATCATTCTAGACAATGGGATTACATAGTTAGGTATGTCAAAACAGTGGAGAAGAAGCACGTAAAACGGACAGATAGCAAATCAAGACGAAATCATTCTAGAACATACCAGCTTCTTGTCAACAACAAGGAAATAACGGTTTGTAAAACTATGTTCCTGAACACCTATGGAATATCAGAGCAGTAGGTGACGACTGCTCTAGGAAAAATTGGAGAAACTGGCACTCTTGAAGAAGATCGTCGAGGGAAGCACCACAAGACCAAATAAAATTGACGGAGGTGTCTTAAATGGGATAAGAGAGCACATTCAACTCTTTCCTGTGGTGCCTTCCCACTATACCAGGAAAAAATCAACAAAGATGTACTTAGAGGATGGTCTCAACATTTCAATTATGCATCGCCTCTACTCAAAGTACATGGAACAGAGAAATGCTACAGAAGTAGGAACTTTAAGACAATACAGAGAAGTTATCAATGCCGAGTTCAATTTAGCATTCCATAAACCAAAGAAGGACCAATGCAGTCTCTGTGTAGCCTATCAACTAGCAACTTCGCCAGATAAGCAGAAAATACAAGAGAAGTATGAAAAACACGTTTCTAATAAGAAAGCTGCTAGAGCTTTAAAAGATGAAGATAAAGAAACTGCAATCAATGACAAGACAATTAGCGCAGCGTGCTTCGACTTACAAAAAGTTCTGGTGACACCCCAATCTGCTGTAAGCGACTTCTATTACAAAAGTAAACTCGCCACATACAACTTTACCATTTACGACATGGGAAATCATGAAGGCTATTGTTACGTTTGGCATGAAGTAATTGCGAAGAGAGGGCCAAACGAAATAAGCAGCTGTATTTTAAACTTTTTGAAAAAGCAAAAAGAGAAAGGGATAAACAAAGTTATTCTTTACTCGGACAACTGCGGTGGACAAAACCGTAACCGCTTCATTTTTTCGATGTTTTCATATGCTTCTATGGCTCTGAATCTACAGATAATCCATCGATTCCTAGAAACAGGTCACACACAAAACGAAGGGGACAGTATGCACGCCGTCATTGAAAATGCCAAAAAGCGGCAATCGGCAATTTATACCCCCGATCAATGGATTATGTTGATTCGCATGGCGAAAGTAACCGGAAGACCATACATCGTGAAAGAGATGTCTCAGAAGGATTTTTTTAGTTTCAAGTCAAAGGTAAATTCGGAAAACTGGAGTAAAGACGATTCCGGAGAAAAGCTGAAAATTAGTAAATTAAGGGAGGTACACTTCTCCTCAGACATGCCTTATGAAATGAAATTCAAGTACGACTATGCTGATGAGCTCAGTATAATAAAATTGAGGAGAAATCGAAGAAGGAGAATGAAGGAAAATTCACCTCAGGAGTTACCTTTACTATATACAAGCTTGCTTCCAGTAGATGCTAAAAAATTAAGTGGTTTACTCGATCTATGTAAACCAAAATCAAACAGTCTTCCAAGCATCCCTGAAGCTTACCATGCTTTTTATTTTTCCCTAAAAGCTAAAGAAATAACACAAAGAGGTCAGAATACTGAAAATACACAAGTTGAGAACGATGATAGTGAAGATGAACATGGAGATGAGAATAATTTGAGTGACTCAAATTGACAATATTAAAACATACTGTATTATTTCAATAAATATCTTACTACATCTACAGTATGTGTGTTTTTTTCCTTAATTGATCCAACGAAAACTATAGTAAGTCTTCAAAATTTTTCCAAAAATATTTTCTTTTGATAACTTTGTATTGTAATATCGTTCATAACACTTGATGTAAAAGAATTGATAGTATCTGCAAGATGCATCGGATAGAGATTATTATTTCACTTCGATCGAAATTAGAAAGTAATTTTCAAATGCTTATATCTCAGTTCAATCAAAATTGAGTTACAATAGTCTTCGTTGCAGGGGTCGATATGTGATCTAGACCACAATCACAGAACTATGTAACTATACATCACATTACCGTTAATACCATTCCTTGGTCACATCACAGGATTTTTATTACAGGCACATTAAAGATAAGTGTTTCAAGTTTGTTCATATCTATTGGAACCAGAAATATTCAGGTAATTTTACGTAACTAGTCGAGCTTCTGAAACACTCAAAATGTCAAAATCTCTAAATAGCATTTGAACATTTAAAACAAATAAATGAAATGGAAAGAAAATATAAATGGAAAAATTTGTCAATAAAAAATCATTTTTAATTCTGAAATTGAAATATTAGATCCTGTAATACTGTATGCAGGTTGATTCCATATGATGGGAATATTCCTAGGAAAAAAGAAACTATATTGGAAAATAATACAACTAATAATGCTCACTTGTCAGAATATAGACAGATCAGTGAATATTTACAAAATCAAAAAATATATCTATGGTATGGATGAAGATATTGTGTCAAAAATTTGTACAGACAGCAAAACTAGCACAAGCAATAAACACACAAATTTTGGATCAAAGCACGGGATTATACCTTAATGAAAAATATTTTCTATGCCACTTTTTACAAAAACCTATCGCATTCAATTGCACATGAACCTTAGTCAGATTTTTCCTTTTCGAGAAAACAATATGAAACTTTTAGTTACAACTCGTAATTCTTGACGAACACGACTACAAAAAAAAACGCGTTATATTACAAGGGTAAAATAGAAAGGAATTATTATTTCGATGAGTTATAAAATTTTCGAGCATTGATTAACGTATTCCATCTGAAGATAGCCAACCTAATGCGTTCAAAAAATTATCTGAGATAAAATTAGATATCACCATTTATTGACTGAATCAAATTATATTCTTTATTTACCACTTTATCAATTTATGTCAATAATAAAGACGGTTATTATTAAATAGGGAAACAGATGTGACAAGTTCTTAAAGATGACGCTATGGTATCTTATTTTATCCCGGATAATTTTTTGGATGCGGGAATATGGCATTAGATCGGTTACCTTCGAGTAGAGTATGATAATCAACGATTGTAGGTATTCAAAAATTTCATATACATTTTTGATAAAAGGAAAAACTGACAAGAATTTAAGGGCATAGAGCCCATTCTTCACTAGGGCGTTGCCACGTTTCTACGCCACTGGTTAGGCGTTGACTGAAAAAACATTTGTAAATTGCTTCTACTGACTTCACTACATATATAAAATTTTGAGCAAATATATTTATTCGTTCCCCAAATATACTTAGTTTTTGTTTTGTACATATAGCTTCAGCACCCTGTATCTCGACTAAAAAGCATTCCAATATACACTGGTTCCTGAATGTCATGAACTACTTCATTTTTCAAACTAAAGTACATTTTTTATGGGTAAACTTTTTCATTTATATTACTATATTATTTGATGTTAATGAATTTATTTTAAAATTCATTTACTATTCCAAGATTAGACCCCCAGGCACTCCACTAAACAGAAAATTACCTGAATATTGTTGTTATTGGCGCAACTAATAGAACTGATTTAAATCATGAAAAAAAAACAACGTATGTCCACAGTGATTATCTCTGAATATTCAATTTAAAAAGAAGGACGACATTCTAAAATGAAAATAAAAGGTAAAAGTATCTCGACACAAACAATAAACACTTATTATATTTGAGACTTGTCATGAATAAAATACTGTACAAAAAGCAGATCTAAAGCCTGTGCAAATACTGATAGAGTTCCTGCAGCAATAATAAAATCCTCTGGACAGAGTTACTCTACTCCGAGGTTTAAGCCCCCAGGTGCTCCACTATAATATACACAGTTACAATTGATTGCTTTTTGCACTAGATTATGCGTCACAAGGTTAAAATATTACTGATTGTTGGTGCTTTTCCTTTTTGGAATCACCGCTTTATTGGCATCGCTTGCCAACCTCTGCACTAAATCTGCAACTGATTGCGGTACCTCTTCATCTATTACATGTCTTGTTCTTTCAGGAAGAACCTAGAATATGGAAAATGATCAGATACTTGGAAAACGTCATTGCTTCGCACCGATTTTTTAACCAATGATATTTACCGGGTAGACGACAGACAGTCAGAATAACGTAAATGAGTGCCTTGACTTTTAGTTTTTTATGTAAAATGCATCTTCGTTTTTTTTGTAATAACAACATAGTCTCACCAAAATTGGTTAGGAGAGTATATGAAAATGCTTTTCACACTTTTAAAAATTGCAGTAAAGTTTTCAATTGAAGGGCTACATAGCGAACATTATCTCTAAAAGGGATATTTGGGTTATGGGCCTAGAGATAACCAATCATTCTGCAATGTTGTCTGCAAATTTGATTTATTGAAACTTCACCGGGAACATCTTATTCAGTATCGACTATCCGAAAGTATACACTTACCAAGCCTGCAGGTTGCGCTTGAGCTGGAGTGGGAGCACTTTCCCTAGACATTGTAGTACTACATCTGCTACTGGAAGATCCTTCACTGGCATTCAGTTGCCCGATTCTTTTTCTCTCCTGCAGCCGGAATTCCCTTTTTTTTGCTGCTGGAGCAACATCGAGACGGCGAATTATATTCTTTTTTTCACTTTGCTTCGCTGGGTCATATGTTGGGACATTCAACTGAAATCAAATATAAACCATGCAGCATGAGTAAAAATTGGTGACTGGACAAAAAAATATTCATATTGTTCCTGTTAACACTTTTCTGTTGTCGTTCATAAACCACTCATATCCCTCACGCATTGCGAGTTCAAAGCTCAGAACTAAAAGTCCACCCATAACTTACCATAAATATACTAAGTGACATATAAATCCGAACACCCAGTTTAAATGGTTTTATTTTAATAAAATTTTGTATAAGTACTTAATGAAGGATAATAAGTAAATGATAAAAATTTCAAAATGATTGCACTGCTTTAAAGCCCTTTGACCTTTAATAATGTGTGGATGCACCCTGATGTGCTACGCATTCTCCAACGCGCCTAGGCATGCTTCTGATCAGGTGGTCAATGTCCTCGTGTGGTATCTCATTCCAGGCAACCACCAACTCCTCTCGAAGTGCTTCTAGAGTCTGAGGAGGACGTTGCAAATTGAGCAATCTCCTACCCATCATATCCCACACGTGCTCAATTGGGGATAAGTCGGGAGATCTTGGTGGCCATGGTAACAATGTGACATCATTATGTTGAAAGAAGTCTATTGTGACTCTTGCAACATGTAGTCGGGCATTATCTTGTTGGAAAGTTGGATCTGCCAGGGTGTCAAGATAGGGTAAAAGATGGGGTTCTAGAACTTCGTGGATATAACGCTGCGCGTTCATGTTACCTCTGATGAAGATTAAAGGTGACCTGGAACCATAAGCTATAGCACCCCAAACCATAACTCCAACAGTGTGATGAACATGTCTTTCAACAAATAACTGTGGATTCCTCCTTTCACCACGTCGCCTTCTAACCCTGGCACGACCATCGTGCATGCCTAAACAAAATCGAGACTCGTCACTAAAGACAATACTGTTCCATTCCTGATCCCAGAGTGACCGTTGTCTGCACCCCTCAAGGCGATTACGTCGGTGTTCTCGAGTTAAAGGGAGGACCCAGTGTGGCCGGTATGAAAACAAGCCAAAACTTCTCATTCGTCGGTAAACACTTCGCATGCCAATAGGTCTTCCGTGTTCTGCAAACCATTCATTTGCAATGGACCTGGTAGTGGAGAAACGGTCCCTTAAGGCCAATAATCTTAGGCGGCGATCTTCACGGTCTGTTGTTCTACGGCGGCATCCAGTGCCCCTTGCTCTTTGCGTACGGCGTTCTCGAAGAAATGCCTGACAACACCTAACCACAGTGTCTACACTTCTTTGCACTCTAACTGCAATTGCCCGAAAAGAAAGTCCAGCTTCCCGAAGTCCCACTATACGGCCCCTAACAAACTCACTAAGTTGACGAAATCGTACAGGTCTCCGTACTCTAGGCATCGTAACCGATCGTAAAGGATGTCAAGAACCAAAATCCGCTAACGTTGATTCTTTACTGCGGCTGAAATATTCATTTTTAGAGCGTTAGTGAATTAAAAGAAAGCAGTATAAAAACCGGAATGTCCAACTGATAAGGCTGAAAATTTTTTCACTTGTTATTTACAGTAAGATAAATACATTCACCAACTTTTATTAAAATAAAACCATTTAAACTGGGTGTTCGGATTTACATGTCACTTAGTATATATGATATTAAAAAAACGGGTTATCTGATGATCTTGTATCATTGTTTGACTCTTATCTTTTCAAAAGGAGACAATATGTCGATTATAAACGATACTGTGCCTCACCTATAAGGCCTGCTTCAGGAATCCCCAAGGCTCAATTCTAGTACCTTTACTCTTTCTGATATACACAAACAATCTAGCTGTTGACTTGCATTGTTCAAAATTGCTGACAACTTGAAAATATATCACTGAGTAAAAACTATCGATGACTGCATATCATCTCAACTTAAATGCTCGCAAGTGATTCACTGTATCCTTTTGAACATCTGCTAGAGACTATATGGTTAAGTGTAAGAGTAGCAGCATGCTAAACTTCGCCATGTAAGTCTGACATTTGGCTATACTACAATGTAATTGTGGATAAATAAAGACGTCTATTATTATTATTAAGTACACAGAATATTTTAATTTTTGAATATTACTTTGGAAATTTTAGCCGATTAAGGAATGTTTTTCTTCCCATATAAATACCAATTTTTCGTCAGCAAATGAGGTTCAGCAAGTCTCAGTTCTTAAAATTCTATATACAGGTTACGTAGCAAGTTAGAGTAAGGGGTTTTGATTTGGCACACACACACACACACACCATGCAACGTGTTTAGAGATTTTTTTTAAAATATCTACATTTTAAAAGTTGTCTATTTCTTGAGCGGGGCTTTGATTACCCTTCGCTGCTTCTCTGAATAACAGCCTCTTTATATAAAACTGGTTTATGAAAATTTAACATCTAAATTTTTGTTAAGTAAAATTCACTTTATTGTGCACCAGCATACTTTACTGTGCCCCTGCCTAACAATAAAAATTCGAGTGTTTTGTTGTGAATGTGCTAGAATCAATGTTTTGAGTAAATCATCTGTTTCAATTATTTGTAACAATTTTAACTCAATAGGTAAAATGCGACATTAATTTCTCTCCTCTCTCGTTTATTTACAGATCACATTTAATAAGGAAGTTTGCTGATTCTTTTTGTTATTCAGTTGTTTATTTTTATATAACATTGTGAGTCTCTTGTGTTGCCAATTCTCAGTTATTGTGATATTTTATATTACCCATGTCTTGATGAACGGATGAAAAGCAGGCTTCAAATAATTCAAAACAATTGCATTCGCTTTATTCATGGATTGAGGAGATTTGACCATGTTAGTGACAAATACAGCCAAATGAAATGGCTAAGAATTGATAAACATGTGCGGTGCAAATACTTAGTGTTTTTGCACAAGTTGATAGCTGCGTCAAGACCTGCATACCTGAGAGAAAAGATCATATTTAATCAAGAAATTCATGACAGGATTACCAGGGACCGTATTATGATCAGGATACCTCCATACTCTATGACACTCTTCAAGCGTTGTTTCTCGTATAATGCTGCCGTATTTTACAATGCTTTGCCCAGAAAGTACAGGGAAATGTCTTTTGCTCGTTTTCGAAGGCAAATCAAGCAATTTATGCTCACTCTTCCCTGATATTTATATAACTGATTTTCTGAGCCGTTTAGGCATACGTGTACATAGTGTATATAGTTGTAGTGTTCTTTAGTTTAGTTGATTAGTTATTTAACCTTTCTGTACTCCTTAGTTTTTCTTATATATTTTTTTTTTCTCTTTTTTTTTGGAATTGCACACAACATCGTGCATAAAGTACAGACAAAGGTAGTTAAGTGTAAGAGTAGCTCAAGCTAAACTTCGCTATCTTTGTCCCTCACATGTACAAAATATGAATAAAGGCGTTATTATTATTATTATTATTAGTTGTTTTTTCGACTTGTTTCAATCATTTCCTGTTATTGGGTGTGTACGTGTATGTTGGGAATTAACTTCTCTCTATCTATCTATTTACCATCAAAATATGATATCCAAAATGTAAAAAACCGGATAAAAAAGTGTTAGCGAGAAGGTCAAATATCTATTTTCGAGTTTCGATGAACATATGGATGGCAAAATATGTTACAGAGGTTGACTGAGAGTGAAAAAAAAAAACAGGAATTTGAGCAGGTAAAAAAAGCAAGAACGTAAATAACAAGATTCCAGAGGCTCCATTGAGTGCAATTATAATCAAGCGTTTTGGTACTCAAAGGACATTAAATGTTTGTGCAATGCACTCTTTCAACAACTACTTGATATTCAAACGACAAAAAAAAGTTACTAAAAATGGGAATGAAAAAACCTTTCAGGCAAATGGATAAGAAATATTGACTAAAAAACAGTAATCCCTACTAATATTATAGATGAGAAAGTTGGGATGTTTATTCTTAATCACCCCAAAATGGCTAAACAGATCTGGATGAAATTTGGTGCAGAGATAGATTATAGTCTGGAATAGCACATAGGCTGCTTCCTATTTTATATATATATATATATATATATATATTTATACGTGAGCAGTAGTCATTGCTAATGACCAGTTGGGCAAAAAATACAATTAATTGTTAATTGGGAAATTGGCTTTAGTTACCTGTTTCGGCGATTCTCTATGGAGCCTTCATCAGGATTCGTCGTTGAGGTTGCAGCCAAATGATGTTTCAAAACGAAACATCTCTCATCTAGACGTTCGTTTTGTAACAAGTGCTCTCATCCCCACGTTCATTTTGAAACACCATTTGGGTGCAACCTCAACAAAGAATCCTGATGAAGGCTCCATAGAGAATCGCCAAAAGCTTGATATTATCGTCAAAAGAGTTATCTAAAGCCTAAAAGTTTGCCAATTTCCCAATTAACAATTAATTGTATTTTTTGCTATATATTTATATATATAGATTCCTGCGACTAATCCTGTGTGGGTGACGACATTGTATTTAACAGCATACAGCTCACAACAGCAGGGAAGCGACTGCCAACTTCACTCACGACTGTGGAAATAAACATTTCCAACAGTCACATATGAGTTGCAGAGACATCTAAGAGGAGTGAAATATGTCTAATAGGTGCATCAAATTATTGGGGTTTTTAGGTGCATAAATATCACATAAAAAAATTGAGAACCGTCCCTCATCCCCTAGCCACCAACTTTTTGCTCCTACAAACATTTTTCCGAAAATGATCAGGGGCTTTTGAAACATAAAAAAACGGATTTTGAGCAATTTTTATTTTTCTGTGTGTGTCACTGCCTTTCCCACATACTATTCTCTATACAGTACAAACACAGAGTATCTAAAAATGACTCACTTCATAATCTAGTTTATGGCCTTGATGCAAAAGACCAGGCACCTAGATTGAGTGCACAAGTTTTTAAAAAAAAGTGAAGAGTCCATTATAAGCCAGTTGATTAGTCTTCTGAATTTATGTCAAGCTATTGCAAAAAAAACTACAATGCATAAAAGCACATTGTAAATTGTTAAATGAAAAAAAAGGTAAGGGATTTGCTACGTAAAAATGAAACAAAAATTTGATACATCACAATGGTAAATAGATAAGGACATACGGCCTCAACTAGTAGTTAGCATAATTCAATCCTTACATCATCCCAAGACTCTTCTGTAGATACAGCCTCACTTTTTATGGGGAATTTATTTGTATCTTCTCCTTCCTCTTGGTAAACTGTCACTTCCAGCTTCTTTCGACTAGGGCAGTTCTCATGGTGATACTGAAAAGTTTTAAATACTAAACTGAACAGAAAAGATGTTATAACAATGTATGTTACCGCTAGTTCAGGCTCTGGAATCTTATGCAATACATTGAACTCACATTCAACAAGTTTGGTATCTGGGTAGTTCTTTTTACATTTAACTAAGTGGGTATTCATTCTTGTTCGCAATATATAGTGAGCCGAATTGTAAGGACACATGATTTTTTCCTCTGGGCTGAAATAAAAATTTGTAGTATACGGTGATGCAAATTCAAGGTGCCATATATTGGAATTATAAAAAGAGATTACTTACTTGCGTTGCTCCATGATTTCGGTAAAAAAAATATGTTTTTTCGATTTTCCTAGACCGCAAGGTATATAAATTCTGGACTATCTGTGCTGCGAACCAACAATTTCTGAAATATGCACAGAAAATGGGCTTAACCAACTTCACTTTCGTGGTTTTACCACTTTTTCATTTTCTGTATGCTGATACGCTCACGTTTCTAAGAAATTTACCAATTCCCGGTTTTTTCAAGCTCTTATCCTTTGTAGTGGTGTTGAAAAAGTAATCATACGAAACTCGAGTACTCGTTACTCATAGATACCCGAAGTAACGAGTACCAATCCGAGCACGAAATGATTACTTTGATTACTCTGTTTTCCGTATCCCTACCCGGTACCTGTACAATCGTTGATCGTTGAGTGGTAACGTTAGACACTGCCGCTCATACATCAGGGTTGCCAGACATCCCACATTCAGATGGAAACCTGGAAACTCATTTTTTTTTATTGGCGGACATAGAATTTGATAATTGTTTTTAAATCTGAAGTTTACCTATTTACACCGTGACACAAATACGCTTTTATTGTTGTGATCTTGGGAACCTGGAAAGGAATAAGTAGTCGATTGGATCGGATCAAAGTCCGGCAGTATTATGAGGCAGAAAAGCGACAACAAGGTAACACCACCGTTCAGGAAAACCACAATAATAAAAGTTATGTCAATATGACTCGTGTTTCCATGCACGGTTTTGCTAAAAAAAATATAATTCAGTATGACGACCAATAGTATGTGTAGGCCAAGCTCAACGTAGAATTCATACTTGTATATTATGCTTAATTGAAATGCTTCGAACAGTCACATGCCATTCCGAATTTCCTTAAGCATATACAGATCATCTTTCTGACTAAAAGACATGTTTTTAAGTATTTCTAGTAAATACAAAGTATTTTCAGTTTGTAGGCTCATATGAGTCATATGACACTCCATTCTATGATAACTTATCTCAATAAGCATACAGTTTGAAGATACAATGTTTTCATTAAACACGATAGTCTTGAATAAACTATGCTTATAACATTTTGCCAATTTTAAGGTCGTCTATTTTCTTACAAGATTTGGTTCCATTCAACTTGTTTAAATTCGACATTAATCACACGACGCACATTGCCAAATCGTTATACTCATACTACTCATTGTAATCAAAGTAACGAATACAATAAACGATTACTTTGTAGAAGAGTAACGATTAGTAACGAGTACTCGAAAGTCAACCAACCAACACCACTAATCCTTTGCCGAACATGCGCATGAAACATAGAACACCGTTCTCAGAAAGGAAAGATCTGAGAGAAGGGAAGAACACAACCTAATTATTCGCCATTTTGGATCCAGCTAATGGGATGGGATATTTTGTTAGACAAAATTGCGTTTAAATAGGTTGTTGACTTCATTTTTGAGAATCATATACTCCATTCTTCTTTTTACGCTTGATTCGATTCACGTAAGGACAAATGCGCCAGTCAAGGGCGCCCGCAGGGGGGCTGTAGTCCCCCCTGGGCATGTGGTTGGACCTTAAAATTTGCATACGTGGGATGACCCTGTGTACAATTTTGAGTATTGTTAGGATTTGCCCCCCCCCCTGGGAAAATTTGGTAATCCCTCTCCAAAAAGTTTTGGTGGCAGGTACACTTTCAAAAAAGTTATGTCTTGTCTTTTATCCTCCCCACCACTCATGAGAACAATTCCTTCGGACATTCATGGCGTCAAGGGGATATAACTACTCTTTAGCTTTACTACCTGCTCCTGCTGTGTGAACATTTGGAGCATGATCAAAACAGAGACTAGATAAAGGTAAGCTGCCTAAGACAAGTCACGTAGTTGTATGAAGCCAATACTATCGGAAATGAGAGCGTCGGCTTTGGAAATGTAGGGCGCCTAGAGGATTTGGATATGAATACCGTATATACATGCACGTAAGAGAGTTATAAGATGCAGACATGATGGATATGCCATATGGGGAGAGACTGGAAACATTTCTGACGCAATGGCTGTAGTAGTTAGCCCGCCTTCATTCTCGACGCCTTTGGCTTCACCCCCACTCTGTGAGTTACTTTACCCTCCCAGATATAGTCGTCATGATTGTTTTTTTTTGTATCAGCACCATCTTACGTGAAAATCATAAGCTTGCTACCGTTTTCTTTCTCTTCCTCGCCACTTGCTCTCTGTGACAGGTGGTTGTTTTCGTCGCTCTGTGTCATTTTCATTATGGCAGTGACAGGTTATCAATCGTAGGTTGTTTGTATTTTGTATTTGAGTGCGTGTATTTTTTATTTTTTTAATTATTCTTTTTGTTTTCCAATTTTTATCTTTGCGTTAATAATCTAAACATGTGATGTGCCGTAATAATACATATTTCGAATACCTACTAACTTTCTCAAACAACAAAAAAAGTGCAACGAAAAGCAATAAACCATGAAGTTTTACAACTCCAGGAAGTTCTCATACCCCCTTTTGCATATAGGTAAGTGATTATTACATTTGATTACTTTAATTAGATTGCTCTTATATTGATTTCGGATCTTTTTGGAAATATAACCTTTCCATACATTCTTAATTTTTGTACACAAAGAGTGACTCACATTGTATCCTGAAAGGCATTATTGGAGAGCTCTGAATAATTCCCATAAAAAGACTAACATTTTTGTTGCATTTGCGGGTAACCCAAGTGTAGCAGTAAACTGATATGGGTATTTGTCAGATCATAACCCAGCTGAAAATGCAGTATCTGCTATTTTGCAATCTTTATGATAAATATACCTGAGGATGAACCAGTTAACTCATTTCTCATCACAGCTTATATAATTAAACATGTTTGAATTAGGTAGACATATGAGGTAAATAGTTTCTCTTTATTTTACTGTAGATCTAGGATTCTACATAACATTTCATTTAATAAGAAGACAATTCTCTTCATTGGTGTAGTTTTTTACAGAGGATCTGAGGAAGGATCCATTCACTTTTACCTTGCATCAAATAATGCTCATTTGTATAATTTTTTTTAAAGAAGCAAAAAAGCTACCACCTAAAAAATGGAGTCTACAAGTAAAATCCATACAATAATAATAATTCAGGATATAAATAAAATTTATTCTCAACTTCTAATTTCTAAACTTATCTTATCTAATTTCTAAAACAAATGTATTTTTCTCATCATTATAATTTTGTTTCACGTTGTTATAATTTGACACTCCATTATATGTACATTATTTGTATTTTCATTGTCAATTAAGTGAAATAGCTTATTTTAGCTTTGTTCCAACAAATCATTGAACTTCATACTTATGTATTGGCATGGAATTGATTCCATAACTGGCAGTTCTGTGTTCCAACTTATTTCTGAATTGCTTCTCAACAGTACTGCTTTTGAGAGAGAACTAAGTTTGAATTTGTTTGAGCATGTGCATTTACAGAACAAACATTGTTGATCAGCTGTTCATAGCTGAGAAGCTGTGTTTCCTGGTTTTCATTTTGTGCCTTTTCAACTTTCCAATATTTGGGTGACAATGAAGATCACCTTGGGACAGATTCAAGGGAAGATGAAGATCTTTTGTACAGAAAAATAATTCAGAATTAGTTCTAGAGTCAGATACTATTTTGAATTTGACAGCTTTTATCAGTACCAGGGGAAAATGTGTAGCAAAAAAAATTGAAGTCATAGAAAGCAGAAAAAGAAGAAGAGTAAAAAAGAACAACTGATATGAAACCTACCAGGGAAGTGTCACAGGGTAGTGACAAAAACATACATGACTGCGAAAAAAAATTAAGATACATCAAGTAGTATTCTATTATTGTAGGTGATTCATGACTTTTGTATTCAAGATCGTTTTTTACATAGATGCAGTACCATTGAAATTCACAAAGATATACTTACCAGGATAAATACTGACTACTGGCAAAAGGGTAACTGCTGACACTGTGTGAGCAACCAATGTGTTCCTGGTTTTGGCAGATTGTGCTAGTGTTACACTATCATTTCTTGATTTTCTACACATTGATCGCGAAATTGTTACATCTTCACGAAAATGTGTAATTTCAATTGTGCCAAGAACCACTAAAAACTTTTTTTTGTGTTTATGCAAAGTTTTTAGTATCTCTTTTTTTTGAAAATATGTCAAAGTGAACATGTTGCAATACAAAGGTATATGTTTTGTTAATTTGTTTTTGGCAGAACATTGATATCCCAAATATCATATATCCACCCATATAGTATATTGAAGGTTTTTACTTCTTCTATTTTGCGTAGTTTTTCACTGAATTTTGGAGAGAAGATGAAACAGTAAGGCAACTTTTTATCAATTTTGCTGCAAAATGCAAAACATGTTTCGCAAAAATTTTATATTGAACATATATTTTTACACTATCATATCGCGTTTTTATAAGTTTCTCCTGATATTACGTTTAATAATGCTTTATATGATTATCTGATTATACAAAATAAAATATAAGGTGCTTAAAAAAACAAGTTTGTTGAGTCACGGATTTGTGCAACACCCTGTATATCTCCAAATAATTTAGAAATACACACATACCTTATATGTCTATCTTGCTGCACAAATCGTTTTCAAATACTGTTTATGGTTTTTCAATTAAACTACTTTCCATCTTGGTATGGGACACCCTGTATATTATATCGTTAACGCAATAAAAACGAGTTAGTTTTCTTAAAATCGTGCAGGTAGGCTTTTGATCAGCACAACACGAACTATTACTATACGAAATAATAATAAATAATAACATTTCTAAACATACCGAAAATACGCGAAGCTATATCATTGTTTCACTAACAAAAAATCGTCATGTCGCGCAACTGTTTTTTGTGATGCGTTAATTCTTTAGAAAAGTAAAAAGAAATGAGAATTAATCGACCTTCCCAAAACTCAAATGTAGTCTTAGTATTATTGATACATAGTAACATTTGTGACTGAATAAATCCAGCCTTAATCTCCGTAGGTACTTGGGTTTTGTAAAAAAGTACTTGGTGCATTCCCAGTTTACACTGCCCATTAATTTACACAGATAACTGTGATAACTTCCTTAAAACTGGGCCTGAAACTCTGTTAGAAATAAATCTCATTGACAACCTTATAAGGAAGAACTGTATTTGTAGTTTATGATCTGTAAACTGTGCATTAAAACAAAATAAAAAACGCATTGACTTGGATATTCATTATGCTTGGCGAAATCATCGCCGTTTTCTTATTTTCAGGCATAGATTCAGCTATTACAAGTATTTACTGTGCTCACGAGGCGTGTAAGGACATTTTCCTGCAATGTCCTTTGTCATATTTGGGGTCATACACACTGTATAGTTGCTATTGTACATATCCTGATGCTGCCTGAGCTTTGTTATGCATATTGAAAGGTTCTCACGAAATTCGCGTACGCTATTGTCGTTTTCTTGCGGATTGA